TAAAACTCAGAGGTCATTTGGTGAGTCCTGCTCTGGCAAAATTAAGTACAAGAGTATCTCAAAGCTTTGTTAACAATCGAGTGAGATGGGTTAAAGTCCAGTGGTGACAGAATTAGAAGGATGTGAGAAGAAAAAAAAGTAAAGATGACTGTTAATCTTAACCTAAAATAAAATTCTACAAGATGGCTGACTTTACTCCATCTTGCATGTATGGAGGCAAATTAACTTGGCTAAGTTCACAGAGAGCTCAGCACGGACCGGGCTTCATAACCTTGGCCCTTCCCAGCATCACGCTATCACGCTCACATTGACTTTCTAGCCTCGTTTACTCAATGAATGTAACACGTCTTGTTGTTGAAATACTCCAGCATCTTACATGAACTAGAAAGGAGTTCCCTTGTGTATGGATGCACGTTATCGGCACTATATGCCCAAACTTTTACACAGACAAACAAATTATTGTAATTAGAACAAGAAATCCAAATTGGGCTCAGAAAACAGCCTTTGCAGGCTATACACTTTGTTTTTAGTCTCTTTCACTATCCCAGAATTAGCTGAACTGAATAAAGAATGATAATTAGGTTGGAACAAATGTGTGTGTATGTGGGTGCGCACGTGTGTGTATACATACTTGTTAGATTATGTTTATTTCCTTTCTACTGGGTTCACAATTCAGCCGAGAGGCAACATTTGGAGAAAAGCTCACTCTATTATAACCAACATTTTTTTTTTTGAACTGGATCTTAAAGCTTTTTGTTCCATCTTTATTTCTCCTCTTACAGGTTTTTATGAAAAGTCTCTATAAAATGCATTCATCCTTTACTGATCACATGATATCTGAAAAAGAGTATGTAGGATGCTGGAAATTCAGTGATAATTGTCACAGTTCCTTGCTGTAATGGAACATATATTTTTAGAGGAGATACAGATAAACAAGATTATAACATGAAATAAAAAGGGCACTTTAGTCATATGACAATACACAAAAGTGAAACCAGATGCCCACTTGGTTGGTCAGGTGTATCAATGGATGTAGGGCTTGCAGCACCTGAGCTGACACCCAAAAGATGAGGTGGTTGAGGTCTAGCTGCATAGTAGAAAAGAAGCATTTGCCCTGTGCTTAATTTACTAAAGACCACACAGCATGACTCAGCAGTGGAATGTGTATGTGTGTTTGTGTGTTATGAGAGCAGTAGTAAAGGTTGATTCGAAGCATAATGTAGAGGCTAAATTATTCAGTCTTGACTTGTAGTAACAGTGAATAGCACTTAAGTAACACTCTGACATGCATTACTGCAAATAATTAGAAAATACCAATACATTTAGTCTACATCAAACCTCAGAAAAAGGTACACAGTTATAATCTTGATTTTATAGTCAAAGAAAATGAGAGACATACGAGGGTATTTCAAAAAGATTGTAGAAAAATGAAATTAAAGTATGAGTTTATTATGGTGCAAAAAATTTTCAAAATACATAGTTTTTTTATGATATGCTTTTTCTGTAAACCTGGCAGCCCCTCATACAGGTTGACTTCACTAATTTCATGAAAGTAATGATGAACATACTGGGATTTGAGCTAAAACTAGTCTGGGAAGTATATTCAAAGCCTTGCTCCTTAGTGTGGTCCAAGGACCAGTCGTGTCTGCATCACTTGAGAGCTTGTTAGAGATGCAAACCTTAGACACCAAACGGACCTACAGAATAAATCCATTATAATGCAGCCATTTACAAAAATCTGGGGGTCCTTCTGAGTATCTTGGTTTAGGGAGTTTTGCTATAATCCACTAGACTATGCTGATTCTCTGAGAATAAATCCGCTAAGAAGAAATCTGGACATTATCCTAAGGTGAGTCAGGAGTAAGGGAAGAATTTGAAATAAGGGACTAGCAAAGTCAAATGTATTTTCTGGACAATTATTAGTCTAATTGTTCTTTATCCTTTTTTTTTTTTTTTGTTATAAGGCATGTGTGCTCACTAGAGAGACAGAGAGAAACAGAGAGACAGAAAGCAAGAAATTATCCTCCAGGGGTTGGAGGAATGACCATGCTGCAATCCTCTTTCCTCCATTTTCCTCTTGGGATCTTGGTTACACATACACAAGAACCCGGTGTGAGTTTTAAGTCACCGGGTACAGGAGTCAAACCATGGTCGACCACATGGGAGTCCGGTGATGCAACCATTATGCCATCTACTGGTTCAGTTCAATTGTTCTTGTGTCAGAGGTCATCCTCAGACGCACAGAGGCCAGTTAAAAGGCTACTGCTATTCAAGGAAAGAAGGCAGAAGCATAAATGAAGGTGGTGGTAGTGACAATGGAAGTAGGTGAATTTAAGAGAGAGCATTGGCATAACTCAGACATCTTTCGGTATATGAGTTGGGAGAGTGGGAGGAGTTAGTTCAGCCCCAATTTCTGGTTTGAGCAACTGGTTGGATCATGGAGCATATAGAAGAGTATATCTGATGGAAGCAGAGTGGGGAACAAGAGAGGGAAATGATGAGTTTACTTTTAGGTTGTACAGTGAGGTTTGAGATGACTGTGGAACAGCCCAATAGGACTTTTAGATAGGGCCAAAGAGAAAGGGTAGGGAACCAAATAAATCACTCAGGAATTTTGGAAAGGTTCCCAGAGCAAATTCTATGTCAGAATTGTTAACTGGTTTGCCATTGATGTATCCTCCCTCGCCACTGTATTTCATTAGATCTCCCTGCCCCCCAGGAGAGGGTCCATCAAAGGGATCTATAATGTCAAAGTAGTCTGAGATAGATAAATGCTCAGCTAATTATTTTGGAGGGGTTTTATGTGTCTTAGCAGGAAAGAGTCCTCCTCTCATTCCTCTCTTCAAAGCCCTTTTTAGGGTACCAAAGGTAACCAAGAAAATTGATGGTAACAGAGAGGAGGAAGATAATTATGAGAACATGTAAATTCAAGTTTGTTTAACTGACCTCCAACTTCCCATATGAACCCAAGTGTTTCATTTTCTAAATTAGGAATCATGTTTCCGGGATTAAAAATGTAAAAACAACGGGGCCAGCAGATGGTGTAACGGTTATGTCACTGCACTCCCACATAGCCAACCACCATTTGAGTCCTGGACACAGTGGCTTGAAAATTACACCGCACAAGTGTGTGCCCAAGATGCTGGGAAGAGAATGGTGGAAAAGGAATTGTGGTGTGATCATCCCCCCTGGGGGAGTGATTTCTCACTTTCTTTTTTTTCTTCAAATATATATATATATTTAGAGTGCAGACACTCCGTATATATTAAGTGGGGACATACAATCCCTCTCCTTCATAGCATGGCTTGCTTTCTCACTTTCTCTCTCATTGTCTCTGTCTCCCTCTCTGGCAAGCATATATGCCCTAAGGCAAAAATCTCTCTTTTTTTTTTTTTGGAGAGGTTTTTGCTATAGGGCGTGTGTGCTCGCCAAACAGACAGAGAGACATAGAGACAGAAAGCGAGAAATCACCCCCTAGGGGGGATGGCCCCGCCGCAATCCCTTCTCCTCTCGGGATGTTGGGGCACGCATGCACACGCGCCCGGCATGAGTTTTAAGCCAGCAGGTCTGGGATGCGAACCGCGTTGACTACGTGGGAGTCCCCCAACATTGCCATTACGCTAATTGCTGGTCTCGAGGCAAAAATCTCTTAAAAAAAGAAAAGTAAAAACAGCAACAAAACAATTCAAGGCTTCTCTAAAATGTCCTCAACAAACACTTATTTCCAATATTACAGTAGAAAAGTTTCTAGACTTGCCTAAGGAACTCAAATTAATCCAGCTGTACTCAAAATGTTGTTGGCAAGTATAATGAAAATAAGAGGCAAACTTGTCAGTGAGGTGATGTTACATTAAAACACAGATCTGCTGCTCTTGTTTAGGTAGAACACTTTCAGAATTGGCAACTGATGAGAATGTGGGAATAAATAGAACAAGTGTAGAAAACAGACATCAGAGTTTACCTTCTCCAGCAAGTAATTTGGAATACAGCTTGAGGCATATATCACAAAACATATGTTAAGAAATGTCTTGTATGATCCATATGTTTAGAATATTTGTGTTCAATTTTAACTCATGTACTTTGGCTAATAAAAATGCTAGAATTTACACATGGCAGTGCTGAGGATTTGAAATGATGACTAAAAAGACTTGAGGCTTTCCTTATATTTTATGTATAAGAAGCACACATTTTACTAATGATTCTTTATAATTCCCACATTTCTGAAGTCTCAAATGATAGCTAAGGAACTCCATTTGGCTTTCAAATGGGTGACGGACACTAAAGAGGATTTGGCTATCATTGTGAAGGAAAAAGCGTCAATACACATGAGATGCACGTTTTTTTACCTATGTCGTCTCAGTTTCAACACGTAGCTCAGCACTTTAGCTGTGAGGTATATTATACGTCTGTGTGGGCTGGACATACACATAACTCACTGATTTATTTTCCTCAGTCTTGTACAGCCTTGGTAAATCTAAGATTATGAATTTTCTTACGAAGTACTTCTGAACAATAGGCATATTTTTGGAAACTCGATAACAAGAAACTCATTAATTTTTTTCACTTAAAATCTGTGACTTTCAGTCATAAAAATCCTGAGTGCTAATGGTATTTATTTAAAAAAGGTAAGCCAAGTAAAATCCCAGAATTCCCCCCCTTCCATTGATAATGGTGAAGCTCTGGCCTGTGTATGGAGACCATTACAAAGTTCAGGAGGCAGCTCCAGAGTTTTCTGAGCACTGCGTTGTTTCCACATGCCTGCCATCAAAATGAGAAGTCTGAAAAGCTCAACATATAAAATGTGATAGCTGCTGGCTCAAAGAGCTTTTAAAACTGCTGTCTCAAATGGCTAATTAACTTCGTGGTATATGTTTACTTGCCAAGCAAAAGTTTTCACACAAGCAGTCACTGGACAGTTTATAAAAATCTCTCATCCTTAAAAAAATTACATCAAAGTAACTCATAAGACACAAAGGAAAATTAGGGGTAAGAAAACTCACCTTTTCTTAAAGCTGTTTCTGCGATTTAAATAGTATGATAGGAGAATGTACGACGAATTTTTCTCCTCCAACACATAGGCATGCCAGCTCCCAAAGGAACGGAATGGGCCACCACCGTTATCTGAGGATCCCTCTCAAATGCAGCTTTTTCAACTTTTGTAGGAGAAAATAGGAGGGTCTGTATATTTCCTGTCTTGAGACATGCACGTGGCTGACTCCTACTGGGCTTAAAAAGCAGTTGTTCTCAAATTTTGCTTCAAATCACAAGTAGCAAATTCTCAGCAGGACATCCATAAAGGGAAATTCTTCAAGAATAGTATTTGCTATATCTGGATAAGCTCCAAAAAGTTTAAAATACACAATGTGCATACAGACACTCCATACATACTTGAGAAATTTCCACTGACGAGGCTAAATTAAGGGCTTATTTACTAGAAAAAAAATAAATTCTCCAAAAGAATGACGTAGTTCCTGTTTCCTTGATTCATCTGTTGTTTGTTTTCCTTTCTAGTGGCTATCAGAACCCTGCTTAGATTAGATATGGCAAACCGTAGCACTTTTTCTGTTGAACTGTTTGGAAAGAGACAGGACCTCTGTTCTTACCCGCTGAGTTCTTGGTAGCCTGAGAGACGACTCCTGGGCTGAGCCCCTACCACTGCCTTCTTGGGAAATTTGGGAACATTAAGCCTTGGATTTGAATAGACTATCTCAAGTAGTTACCCGCTTTCTGTACCGGTGGTGTGGACTTGGCAGTCCCTTCCTCCTCCTGTTTCCCTGTGAGCGGGCAGCAATTGTTATGTCACATTTACGGCTCTGACTTCACTCAAGCACAGGCTCAACTGGTCTTCTGACATCTTTAGTTGAAAACAGAAAAAGTAGCCAGAGATATCCAGAGCTAGATATGGAAATATGTCGGAATATTTAATTAATTCACAACAGGAGTTCTCTCAGTAGGTACTCCCATCTGAAAAAGCGAGTCACATTTGCTCCTAAAATCTCTATTTGAGGCCATTTCTTCAGTTTGGAAGGTGAAGTGAGAGAAGAAATATATTCTGCCTATCTGTTTAGTCCCAAGCCAAACTGTCCTTGCTCTAAGTGCTGAAGAAATACTATTTTCAGAGGTCAGACTTTGAGATCGAAGAGCTTGAACTAGGAAAATGCAGAGCCAATGAACTCTATGCGTTGTTTCTCACCTGACCTTGATGATTAAAATATGAAGGAGATGAAAACATGGAGATCTGAAAAATTCTGATTCAGTGGAAGGACATGAGTACACTCCATTAGTTATAGGCTTTAATCCTCACAACGCTGCTGCGAGGCAGGCATCTTCCTTTCCCAGGCAGGGAAGCAGTGTCCTGGAGATGTGGCCGTGCCTGTGTTCCCATCTATTTATGGGACCATCGTCCTCTTTGTTTAGTCCCATGTTTACACCATGTTCACTGATTCAACTTTGGCACTTCCTTCTCCCTCGACCTTTTACATGGAATCACTGCACTTAAATAGTGCCATCGATATCATAGAAGATCTTAATTAGCAACCCCAAAAGCACTGCTTTTTACCTTGCTGAAAACTTCTCATTTCTGACCATGTCTATTTGTCTTTTAAATTCCCTTCCCTTAATGTCAATAAGTTACACTCTCCCAGTTTCCTCTATGCCTTAGCACCCTCGGTCCTCTCGCATTGTTTATTTAGAACTTTATCCTCTGTTAGTTTGCTTCTCTGTGCACTCCCCATGGTGTTATCAAGCAATGGAAAGTTACACGCCGTGATTCCCAAATCTGTACCCTCCTCCGATGTCACTCTCCAGTGGTCCAGGCCTATATCTTGTTATCTGTTGGACATCTTTGTCTCATGGTCCCCAGGCAGCTCAAACCAATAGTCCCAAATAAAACCCTCCATGTTCTCCTCACCATAAACCTGATAGTTTGCTGTATTTCCTACCTCAAGGTGGGGCACAATCATCTACCTATTATCTTAACTCTTTCCTTTTCTCCCCCACTCCTCCACCAATATCTCCATTGTTGCCCAACGTCTGTTGGTTGTACTTTGTTAAAACCTCTCAAATTTGTCATTATCCCTGAGTTCTAGGTCTCACATTTCTTGGATTATTCTGTCAGTTGTAAAACACTGCATGTATCTGCCTCAGTCAGGTCTCTTTGTAGCCTTTCTTTATATCAGCAAAGGACCATATTATTTTTAAAACACCAGTTTGTCAAATGATAAATACATACTTTGTGCAAAAAAATTTGGAACCAAAAATGGAAAAAACTATGAAGAAAACTTAAAATGACTTGCAATTCAAGAGAAAGTCATAGCCCAAATCTCTGTGTACTTGTTTAGAATTTGATGTATGCAGGCATATGCTAACTATCCAGGGATTTTTGTATCAATGTTTGTGTATAAGTGTTTATATATAGTCACATAATAATCAATATGTTAAATTAGAAAACCAAGATCACCTGGCATATAGTTGTAGAGGATGCAAAATATATTTCTTTCCCACTCTAGTTCCTGACTGAGGCCCCTGCAACAAAAGACAGGTTAATAAAAGTAAAGCATACATTTGTATTTGTTACATTTAATGTGACATGGGAACCTTTAGAAATGAAGACCCTGGGGGCCGGGTTATGGCACGGCCATAAAATGTGATGCTCTGTGAGACTGACCCACACGGGAAGGTTCTCAGTTTGTGTTTGGAGACTCCCTTGAGTCCCCTGGGCATGTGTGTGCCTATGATTTGGGTCTGGCTGGGGCTGAACCTGAGTTGCAGCATCAAGACCCTGTTGGAGGAGGCTCTTTTTCTCCTGCTCATAGAAGAAATAAAACTTAAAAAAAAAATCCAAAGAAATAGATAATAGGTTTGATGGAGTAGATAATCCTGGGGAAGCATGATTGGAAAAGGGGGTATGATCTAATAATAATAAACTAGGGGAACTTAGCAAGGCCTGTTTAGATATTCCTCTGTGTTTGTGTGTCTTCAGAGATAAGATGTCCCTTTCGTTAAAGTATAGGGAGAGCACCTCTTGAATAAGTGTCTTTGACCTGCTTCAGGGGCAAAGGGCAAGGGAGAAGTGAGAGTAAACTTTCTGCTTCTGTGGTTTAGTTTTGTATTCTGTTTTTCCACTTGACATATTGATTTTTCCAACTCAATAAACTATTATCTATTTATTAGCAAAAGTGAGAAAACATCTCCTGTCACCCATGGGGAACAGTCATGCCACACGATCCTTTCTCCATTTCTCCCTTCTTTTGGGATTTTGGGCATGCACACATGCATAGCCTGTGTGTTTTTCAACTGCTAGGTCTGGGATTCAAATGGTGTAGTTGGCCATATGGGATCCAGCCACATTAGCTACCAAGACACTGGCTGGCCCCAATAAAAGACTATTTTTAAAGTGGCTGTGAATAATGGTTGCAATATAATCCAATAAATAATAAAATAGTGTTCTTCCTTGTTTTCTTCTCTGTTTTATCAGCACCAAAAGTTATACTGATCACTTACAAGATAAAGTCACGAAGACTGAGATTTAGGCTAGAAAGAGGGAAAGAGAAAAATCTAGAACATTTAAATTCATTTATATTTATTAGATACTATTTAAGTAATTGTATTTCTTATGCAAACCATGTAAGATGACTTTAAGAATTTACCTAACCTTGAATGCTATAATAGGCTAAGCTTAAAGGCTATGCTTGAGATGAGTAAAGACAGGGTTAGTAGGAAAATAATTTGACAAAGCACTTTTAATTCTTTATATTGAATAACAACAAACAAGAGAAACCTTTGGACTTTTGTCTTAGCTTGACTGGTCAGATGAGAAGTTTCTTTTCTTTGGTGGAGCAGTATCTGAATAAGCAAAAAAATAATTCAAGTCAAGATGTGGGCCCCTTTTTTTGTGCAAGACACATAGAAGCTGTCCACTGGTTGTCTGTCCCCAAAGGGGGACGGACATATTACTTCTCAGTAAACAAAGACATTACTTTCACAAATGGTATGCACATTTTAGAGGATTTTGGTAAATTGTAAAATTGACTTCCAGAATGGAACTGATCTTTGTATATAAGTCTTTTAGAATTTTCTATTCCTCCCTAATTAACACTTACGAAGGCTCTTTTCTCTGCTTAGTATAATACTCAAGCTTTTTAGCTTAGTATATAGGCATTTTGAGGTTTCCCCTCTGGCCTCTCAACTTTATCTTAAACTACCTTCCCAGATTACTTTCCATATTTCTTATATCAGGGCTCCCAAAACACCTCATTATCTCATATTAACTCATGTTATCGTATTCCTTTCTTCCCGTTTTTTCTGCCCAGAGTTGCCTTCCTTCACGTCTGAGTTTCTGCGGGAGAATCGTACTTTTTTTTCAGAACTCAGATCAAGGGGTCATATCCAGCTTCCCTACTGTGCACTCTGAATGTCGCTTCTTCTCCCACAGCACCTTCTGTTTACTTACCAAAACAGTAATTGAACTGTAGCTCGATCCTTGAAAGTAAGGCATATTTTTTAAAAACTTAATTTGTAAAATTTACCTTGTTCTATGAGATGCAGAAATTGTGGAACCAGGGGATTTAAATTCCTACCTTCCCTTTCTTTTATCATACCATCAACAGAATCCTATCTTGTCCTTCCCGGTCCTAAAAACAACCATCCAGGTTGCCTTACTATAAATCACTTGATAATCACTTTCTCCTTAGAAATGCAGCTAAGGGCAAGTGTGACAAAACAAATACAACACTAGAAACCTATAGAAATTCAGTACATGTTTAGTTATTCCTTTGTTTTTGTAATGTAAATGAGAAATCAACTTTTTCTGAAAGACTGAAAGCCAGGATTTCTTTTTCAGATGGTTTAGAAGTCTTTTCTGGCTTTTATGTATGTATTTATTTTTAAAATTCTTCCCACGTTGCCCTATTCCTGCCTCAATTTCCCAGTTGGACCATAAGGTGTGTACCAGTATTCCCAGCTCCTGTTTTTCTTTTAGCCAAGAAAAGGTCTTTTAGTTCAGGCCAGCCTTAAACTTGCAGCCTTATTGCCTCAGGCCCAAGTTGTTGGGATTAGATGTTCATGCCACCATAACAGGTATTCAGATCGAAATGGGAATTGAATCCGTGCTCCCATGTGGTCCCTGCCAGGGAAGCATGGCATCTTAGTAGCACATGCTACTGTGAATGGACTGACTAACCTGCTTAATGTGGTTCTCAAGGCAGAGCAGTGTGACTCTGGTTATTTAATAGCCCTTTGTGTGCCAGATTTGTGTGGAAAACACACATGCCAGAGGATTTTTTTGTTTTTAAAACTTTTTTACATTTTATACATTTAAGCACTGTGTATCATTTTAGCATATCAAATGAATTTCCCCATCATGAATACACTGCATATTGGTTCAGTAAAAGACACTACTGTAAACATCAAAATCAACAGATTTGGGACCAGCAGTTGGCGTAATGGCTGTGTCACTGGACTCCCATGTAGTCGACCCCGGTTCGAGTCCTGGACCTAGTGGCTTAAACTCACACCGGGCGTGTGTGATCCTAAGACAAGAATGGAGGAGAAGGTATTGCGGCGTGGCCATCCCTCCTGGGGGGTGATTTCTTGTTTTCTGTCTCTGTCTCTGTCTTGCTGAAGAGCACACGCGCCTATAGCAAAGACCTCTCAAGTGTGACAAAACAAATACAACACTAGAAACCTATAGAAATTCAGTACATGTTTAGTTATTCCTTTGTTTTTGTAATGTAAATGAGAAATCAACTTTTTCTGAAAGACTGAAAGCCAGGATTTCTTTTTCAGATGGTTTAGAAGTCTTTTCTGGCTTTTATGTATGTATTTATTTTTAAAATTCTTCCCACGTTGCCCTATTCCTGCCTCAATTTCCCAGTTGGACCATAAGGTGTGTACCAGTATTCCCAGCTCCTGTTTTTCTTTTAGCCAAGAAAAGGTCTTTTAGTTCAGGCCAGCCTTAAACTTGCAGCCTTATTGCCTCAGGCCCAAGTTGTTGGGATTAGATGTTCATGCCACCATAACAGGTATTCAGATCGAAATGGGAATTGAATCCGTGCTCCCATGTGGTCCCTGCCAGGGAAGCATGGCATCTTAGTAGCACATGCTACTGTGAATGGACTGACTAACCTGCTTAATGTGGTTCTCAAGGCAGAGCAGTGTGACTCTGGTTATTTAATAGCCCTTTGTGTGCCAGATTTGTGTGGAAAACACACATGCCAGAGGATTTTTTTGTTTTTAAAACTTTTTTACATTTTATACATTTAAGCACTGTGTATCATTTTAGCATATCAAATGAATTTCCCCATCATGAATACACTGCATATTGGTTCAGTAAAAGACACTACTGTAAACATCAAAATCAACAGATTTGGGACCAGCAGTTGGCGTAATGGCTGTGTCACTGGACTCCCATGTAGTCGACCCCGGTTCGAGTCCTGGACCTAGTGGCTTAAACTCACACCGGGCGTGTGTGAGTGTGTGCCCAAGATCCTAAGCGAAGAATGGAGGAGAAGGTATTGCGGCGTGGCCATCCCTCCTGGGGGGTGATTTCTTGTTTTCTGTCTCTGTCTCTGTCTTGCTGAAGAGCACACGCGCCTATAGCAAAGACCTCTCAAAAAAAAAAAAGAAAAAGAAAAAGAAAAAGAAATTAACATTTTTTTTTTTGCCCATTTGGGGGTCCTTTAAATGTTTTGCTTCTTTCTTCTTCCCCAGATTCTCTCCTTCTCAACCTCTATTTCCCACCCACCTCCCCCACTGGTTCAGTATCATCATTGCTCTCCATGCTTTTGTGTCTTCTCTTTTATTCATTTCTGCCATAGAACATGTGTGCTTGTCAGAGAGAGACAAGACACAGTGAGAGGGAAAGTGAGAAATCAACCCTCAGGGGGATGGCTATGCCACCATCCTTTCTCCTCTATTCACCTAGAATTTTGGGCACAGACACTCACCTGGTGTGATTCTCAAGCCAATGTGTCTGGGACTCGAACCATGCCATGGTCCACCATATGGGAGTCCAGTGCCTTAACCACTACACCACCTGCTGACCCCCTGCAAAGGATTTTTATGTTTTTATATCATCTCCCAAGTACAGTAGGGTAAATGCTTCATTGGTCTTAGTGGAAAAAAGCAAACCTTCCACCTCCTAGCCATACTCAACTCACGTAAGTTGGTTTTTGATTTAAAAACAAAACAAAGCAAAAAAAAATATCATATTTGGCTCTGGGTGAAGAGGCACTTGTGAGGAAGAAATGAACTCCCTCCTCCATCTATAGGCTGCAGTGTACTCCACATCCCTGAGGCCTTTTGCCTTGACCTTGGTGCTTTCTGTCCTGGGAAAGCATATTCTAAAGCTTTCCACTCAGGTTAAGCAACTGTTGCATTTATTGTTCTAATTTAGCATTAAGATTTTTTTCTTACAATATACTGTGATTTTGATTAAAAAATAGCACAATTCACCTGATCTTTCTGATGGCCAGAAAGTAGGTGTCCTTATGCTGAAAGTTAATTAACTAAGAAATGATTTATTAATGATGAAATGATTCATGAGTGGCAAACTTTTTAGAAATGAAAGACATTAAAAACTACAGAACCATCTTTGTGTAAGAAAAGTTAATATTCAGAATGAGAATTCAAAATATAATTAATGCAATATATGTAATTCAAATAATGAAACTACAAAGTACCATAAAATTATTTAATAGGCAAGTTTATTTTAAATAACATTTTAACCCTGCCCATTAAGATTACAGTAAATAAACATTTAACAATTTCTTTTTTATTAATGAAATTAGATCTTCACATACAAAATCAGTGATATAATTTTATTTACAAAGACATAAAAACTACTCTTAATTTACTGTGGAAAAATAATAAACATTTTGACAAATAAAAAAATTTAATGCAAACAAATGAAGACAGTAATTTTTTTATTTGCTTCATCATCTTTTGTATTTATATTCTATGACCTAGTTTGAAATAACATGGATCACTTTGGTATCTGCTGAAACGTAAATTATGAGGTTCTAAAGCAAAGGTTTAATTAAAAAAATTAAGGTGGGTGTTGAATATTTTGGAAACTGCTAAACAGACCAAATCAACTACTAAACAGACTAAATTTGAATTTGTGATTACAGGTTTGTGTAAATTTTCTTCCTCTGACCATATGAAAATATATAATAGAAAATTATCTATGGGAAACGATTAAAAAATTTGATGTTATTTTCCTATCAACCTTAATAATGCTTAGTTGGCAATTAACTCAATTACTTTCACTTAGGATTATTACTTTGTCTAGAATGGAAAAGGTAGGAGGTGATCTTTGTATTCAAAAATTTTAAAATATAAAGTTTTAAATGCCATATAAGGAATGATATAAAACAGTAACTTTTTAATATTTGAAACTTAATTTACTATTCAAAATAAATGTTTATGGTAATAAACTGCTGCTTATAATTCATTTGGTTAGTTTTTTTAACTAATAATCTTAGTAAACAAGAGTATCTATTTTTTATAAGGGTTTTGACTTTTAGCAAAAAAAAGGTTCCAATGATTTAAATACACTTATAGATCCCCCTACCACTGGAAAATCAGCCTATCTTTGCCACACTGGTATTGATAAAAATATTAGGTGCTAGAGAAACAATTATAATAAAAACTTAACATTTAGAAATATAAACTGGGTTAAAGAAAAAAATAATAAATTTTTATTTTTCCAATATAACTATGACTTATACCTGCTAGCAATAAACTTCATTTTTTTCTTTCACTCTTGTTAGCAGCTCACTTGAGGACAGAGCAAGCAATGAATGGGCCCTCCTGCTGATCTTTCAGGACACCGGTAAAGGCATCCCTGAAGCCCTACCACATAAAAGTTTATTCTGATGGGAAAAAAAGGCAAGAGTTTCCTAAAAGAAAAGAATTGTGAACTTTTGTAGTTTAGTTTTGCAACATTCTCTATCAATTTGAAAATAAAACACACAATTTATTTTCATTCTGACACCAAAGATGTTTTTCTTTCCTTTTTCTAAAACCACATTTTAAGTTTTTGCCTAAATATGTATAAATACAGTAGCATCACTTGAATTCTAAAAGCATAACAAAAGAATCCTTTCCTAGAGATATCAGAACATTTATTTTCAATCAGTATCTGAAGAGAAACAAACTAAATCAGAAATGTTAAATTTTAGAATTATGTAAAAAAAAAAAAAATCTTCTGGGATAGTCAGTGGTGTGGTGTGGTAGTTAGGGTAACTGGAATCCCACATGGCTGGGTGTGTGGTTCAAGTCCTTACTCTGGCGAATTTGAGGGGCGTGCTCTGGGAACATGTGCCTGTGTGTCCAAAATCCCAAAAGAAGATTGGAAAAGAAGGGATTGTGGTGTGGCCATTCCCCCTGAGGGGTGCTTTCTCACTTTCCCTCCCTCGGTCCATTTGGTGAGTGCAAATGTCCTATCAGAAACTAAAAAGGGAAACTTCCATGGAAAACTCACTTTACAAAAGCTAACGTCTTTATAAGATTTACATTCAGTACAACATGGATGTTTAGCTCAATTGTATGTATGGGGGGTTGCTGGGAGAGTGGGGACTTGTGCAATGACTATTTTTTGTGATCACTCACTTTTAACTTCAGGGGAAAATGCTTATAATGCAACAAAAGTAAATCCATATAACATTACTCTTCTGTTACAGATGATTTCCTGGATTTGAAAACAAGGTCTTTGATGGATGAAGAAAGTTCTTGAAGCTCTTTACGGGTAGCACTGGTGACATCTTGTTCTTTGTCTACTTCATCACTCGAGGGATCATCTCCCTGACCAGTCTTCTTATTTTGACTGACTAACTGCTTTACAACCAAACCTTGATACTTTACCAAAAGAGTATGCTGATCCTGTGAAAAGAGGAAGAATAAGAAAAGTTAACACAATATCTGTTCTGTGGGACAGATAAAGTAGTATTTATTTGGCTAATACTCACTGATCAAATACTGGCCATGTAAGTATGAAGTCAAGTCTAGCAAGGTCCCTGCTCTCAAGCTGTTTACATTTTAGGGGAGGTAAAACATGAATGTAGGTTACTTTACCCTAAGCTGTCTTTGCTATGTCCTATACTGTAGAAATGATAGGGAAGTTCAAAGAAGACAAGTAACTTTTAGTTGATGGGTTTTTCAGAAGTTATACAGACCAAGACTTTTGAGCTGGTCCTTGAAGGCTGAAGTTAATTAAGAAGCTGAAATGGAAGATGTGACGTTCTTATATCCTTTCTAAAAGCTTAATTTCCAAATTCCGATACCATGGATCTTATGGAATACTGAAAGATTCTTGAGCTATGCTGAATTTCTGTAATTTATCCCCTAATTCACTGGTCACATTCTTGAGAGAAGGCAAATGATATTAATATGTCTTGTTCTGAGTGTTGACAATAATTACATCTATCCCCTCAAAAATCTTGGAAAGTTTCAAGTATATTGAAATTTAATACCTCTGGAATTTTACTGTTAAGAAAAGCAATGATCTGTGGGACACATCTTCCAGGAGCATGAAGCATGTTGTGGGTTGAGAACTGAAACAACAGGACCGATGTGAGGTGCAGAATAAGAGCAGGGTCCTCTGTGACCTTTAGCTGTTCAGTCAGCGCTTGCCGATGCTGAAATAATATCTGTCTAAATCAAAACAAAATCACACAAAAACATGATCATGATTTAACAAGTTCTCCTCAAGCTCAGTTCTTCTATATTCATATTTGGTTTCTATAGTTTAATTATCTAATTCCATAATCATTTTAAAGAAACTTTTACATACAGGAGAGACATGACTCTAAATGGCATGTAGAGACTACTATACTAGAAAATTAAAGAAAAAGCTACACATCAGGGATATTCAAAGTATGTGTGTTGTTTTGAGTGGCTGTGGATCAAACAGAATTGTACTGATTTAGTTGACCTGTCCTATAAAGAAGGCCTCAAAGCTAATAAAAAGTTTCTGACTTGATTAACTATGAGATGAAGGAACACTTATCAAGAACACTTATCAAAAATGTCACAAAAATATTTAACTATATTAATATTGAATATGCTTGAAAATCTACAGCTGTTTAGACATAGTCTTCTATGTAAGATTCACAGTTGTATTCAAATTTCATATATGAAATGTTCCACATTTAAGAATATAACTCATCAAGGGTCAGCAGATGGCATAATGGTTACAGGCCAGGCACGTATGTGTACATGCCCAAAATCCCAAGAGAAGAATGGAAAATGGATTACCATGGCCATTCCCCTGGGGGCGGGGGGGGGTGGTGGAATGATTTCTTGCTTTCTGTATTTCTCTGTCTCTCCAGCAAGTGCACATGCCCAATAGCAAAAATATCTCTCTTAAAATAAATAATTTAATTAATTATTAATTCAATGTTACCTTTCCCTTTTTTTGTCTCCCCTTTTCACCATAATATCACAAGCTTCTGCTGCAGAATCCAGACAAGAGAGAAAGTCTTCTATACTCTGAAAAGGTATTTAATACTGTCATTTATGTTTATACACAGGTACCTAAAGAAATCAGCCATTAAGTATTGTTTTGTAACTTTATACCCTAAATACAAGTTTTTAAAAGGATGGCTTGTTGCAGAATTAGAAACTGTGACTTAGGACTAAAAGCAGTAAAATGCCCCAGTATGCTCTCTTTCTTTACTTTCCAATTTGGCATCTGAGTGGAGAATACTGATTTTTTTTTTTTACTGTATTTACAATTTTTCTGATAAAACATATACTCCAGAGATCTTCATAACACAAATATCTAGCCCCAACAGCAAAGTATAATAGAATCATGAAATTTTACTCACCTTTTCATTCAGAGAGTTATGGAGTTTTGTAAGAACTACCTTAGTTTCTTCTGACAATTTACTTATAATTTTTTTTCTTACCTATAAGGGGAAAAAGAAAAATTCTTTCAGTATTGTGCTTTTGACATGCAGTAGATATGGAATTAAGCCAAAACAAAACAAAACACACCTACAAAAAATAAAAACAAAAGTGTACTTAGTACAGTAACATGAAACAGAATGTCGAGTGGAATTTACCTTGCTCTTGAATTTTAGATCTCAAACTGGGATAAAAATACACTAAATACATTTCTAAAGTCATTGAGCTAGTCAATAGCCAACAGCCAGACGCTTAGATACAGCCCTACTTCTGCCGCCTTCTCTAGCAATGTAAGAGGAAGATTACAAAAAATCACTGACCTTGTAAAAAGCAGAATTGTTGGAGTAAGAGGCTACTCTCTCTTTTTACTGGTGTGGGAAGTATTTTTCCTTCCCCAGAGCCGCTGAGAAGAGCCTCATTATAAAGATCTGAGATACCTCTAAGATGAAATACTGAAAGCATGGTCCATGAATAGATGCTTCCTATGCTGTATAGTTTGAGGAACCTCTTCAGTACCTCGCTCCACATATATATGTCTGGTGAAGGTCTGTGGCATTCCTGATCATTTTTTCTGGGATAAAATTTCTGGAGTAGACCTTTAGGAATGGCTGAAAACCGGCCCTGAAGGGAATAGTGTATCTGGGAAGACAGAGGCACCTTATTGCCTCCTTACCCTCATCCCACACCAGTCATTCTGTGGCCCATGAAGGGCAAGGAACAAGATGTCCTGCATTTCTCACAGTGGAGAGGCTGATACAGGGGCAGGAGACATGGAACTGTCTAGGCAACTGCTCGAGATGAAGAAGGAAAAAAGGGTCAGTATTTTGCAGGGCTGGGAGGTATATATAAAAATAGTTGTACTTATGTGTGGGTGGCTGAGGAAGATTCCTTACTGTGGGTCACATGAAAGTAAACATCCTAAAAAAAGCAAAACAAAACAAAAAAACCCTATGGCACTAGTGTGGCAACAAGCAGCAGACTGACGTGGCCGATTTAGATCAAACCAGGGCTATGCACTCAGGCACATGAGGACACTTTTGCCTCCCTCACTTTTCCTACATCTCCAATCTTGAGGAGACCTAAAAAGATGAGGAAGAGAAGGAGGAGGAGGAATCACTCTCTTGTTCTTAGTAACAGACCACATCTTTCCTCCTCTAGACAATTGGTAGCCACAGCTCTACCCTACATTACTTAGAAAGAAAGAAATAAGCTTTTCAATTTAGTTTGAGACTAGAATTTCATCTGCCTAAATACTGAAATGAGATGGCATCACTAAATGAAAATCACTGCAAAGTTACAGAAATTGGCTGGAATGCTGTTCAGAAACTAGCAAATCATTGAGAAAAAGAGGTCAAACATAAAAATAATTAGAAAAAAAAAACCCTGCATATTCTAAAGTAATTAAGCACTGTTAAAGGGTTGACTTCAAGTCCCAATACTGTTAGCAACTATAGTATAGTTTATGCTATATTAGTATATAGTATAGGATATAACAGTACCATATATAATATATATACTATATATAGTATAGTATATATTTTAGTATATAATATAATATATACTAAACTTGAATGAGAACTAAAATATTTTCCTAAAACTCTTTACTATAGTTTATTTTCCTTTCAAGCTATTTCAGATGACAGAAAATCAGATGTGCTTAGACTCAAAATATATCAAGAGCAGCAAACAAATCACTAACATACTTCATTTGTAATGGCTGCAGGATCATCTACTGCCATCATTAAATCTGAAGCTAAGAAGTTGAAGATGAGGTTAGTGACATCCGTGCATAATGTCTTCAGCAAGTGCCTAGTAAGAGCAGCCTGGGTGTCATCTGGAAAATAAAGGCACTTTATTATAAAATACCTCCCCATCCAATTTACTATAATATATTAATTATAAATTATAATTATTATATAATATTATATTCCCCAATTTATAAAAAAACAATAAAAAGCAGTATTAAGTATACCTGTAAAAAACTTCATTCCTTTTTCAAATAATCTAATATTATTGTACAAGTTTGAAACCTCTTCTTGCAAGTCCTTGATTGTGCGTTTTCGGCCAGTTCCAGAAGCAGAAGTTGAAGACATGAATACTGAACGTACCACCTCCAGATACATCTTATTGAGAGGTCTGTGCACAAGGTAAATAGATGGAGTTTATGAATATATATGGTAGATAATAAATTTTACTACTATGTAAATAAGGCTTAAGGAAAGAGTTCTATTTTTAAAACAAAATTAATGTGAAGACCAGTTTACTAAGAACGTGTCCCTCTACCCCAGGAATTTTAACTTAAGTAAATTATTTTCCTCAATTTTAAATTACTAAGTTATTTCACTAAACACAACAAGAACAGTAACAAAAACTCCACAATTCAAAATAAAGTTAATATGGAGAACAGTAAACTATGAATCTGTTTTCCATCCTCAGGCATTACAGGTTAAATCCTCAAATTCTAAAGTACTAAAACATAACGCATTAAAAAATTCTTGTTTTGCTTAATTTAAGATAATTTTAAAAAGTAACGGCAGGGGGCCAGCCAGTAGTATAATAGTCATGTCGCATGCTGCTGAACTCCCACATAGTTGACCACGGTTTGAGTCCCACATTTGATGGCTTAAAAGTCACGCTGGGTATGTGTGTGTACATGCCCAAGATCCTAAGAGAAAGGAAGAGAAGGGACTACGGCATGGCCATCCACCCGGGGGATAATTTCTCGCTTTTCTGTCATTCAGTATCTCTCCAGCGAGTATACGTGCCCTATAGTAAAAATCTCTCTTTAAAAAAAAAAGAGATAGCAAATGATTAGTAATTATTTCATTTTTTACATATGAAAAATGAAGTCCTGTAATGTATTTATACAGAAAATAATGGTATAATTTAAATAACATTCTCAGTACAAAAGCTGTGTTTCTAATCAAAAAGCTGCTCTAGGCTCCTAGATTGTATTTATGGACATTTACATACTGGGACTAACTTGAGGGATGATCACATTAGTTAGTAGTGGTTAAATTATACACAATTTCCTTTATTTTTGCATAAAAATAAATTTACCTTGGTTCATTCACAAGGTAGAAGTGACTAAATTTATTCTTTCTGAGGTTAGTTTTGTTACTTTATTCTCTCTAAAAGTAAGAGTGTTTACTTTCTTTCAAATCATACTTAATAAATGATCTCTTTTTCCTTTTGAACGGTACTTTTTATGCTGTGCGAAAGTCCAGGCAAGAATCAGTGTTACTGTTTTTCTCCCTAACTTTCTGTAAAATAGTAATATCAGTGAAGGAGGATGCTTTCAGGCTATTGCTTTTTATTTCTCATAATGCCTTGCCTACGGCACTTGACAAATGTTTCTTGAACTGTCTCTATAAATACTGGAATTTGATGGCTAGGTTGTATGCTAAACTTTAAAAAGAAAACACTCAAATATATGCTTTCTATGGGCTTGGTAAAAATTTTACTTAATAATCCACTCAAGTGCTATCGAAATATATATTTTGTACTTGCTTTATTAAGTATTCTGCAAGTTCAGAAATAAACTCCTCGGGGGCATCTTGTACACGTTTTCTTAAAAAATCCTCAATCTCATCCTGGAACATAAAAATGATCTCTGGCTTCTTCTTACCTATAAGATACGAGCAATAGGGAATACAATAGGCAAACAAACCAAGTAAACAACCAAGAAGCAAATAAGGTTTAATTAACATATTTAAAAAGATAGTAAAATTAATTCATTGCTTACATAGATATTAAGTTTTATGTCAACAAATTATTAATGTCAAATAACGATATCAAATGAGAACAAGTTTTAAAACAGAATACATAGTGCTTTTAAGTGTTCATTTTTAAATTTCCTTTAAAATGACTGTTTTCTACAAGCCAATCAGAAAATAATATTTTTCTTTTCATCGAATTTGAATGATGAAAATAGCCCTAAAACAATAAAGTAGATAGAATAAAATCTTTTAGAAGAGAATAACTTATCTTGTTGAACAATGGATACAGGGAAGATTTCCTTTTTTATAAAAATGAATACTTATATTAATGAATATATTTATATTAAGAACATCTTTCCAGCGACCAGCAATTAGAGTAATGGCTATGCAGCTGGACTCCCACGTAGTCAACTGCGGTTTGAGTCCCGGACCCGACGGCTTAAACTCACGCCGGGCGCGTGTGCGTATGTGCCCAAGATCCCGAGAGGAGAATGGAGGAGAAGGGATTGCAGCGTGGCCATTCCCCCTGGAGGGTGATTTCTCACTTTCTGTCTGGCGAGCGCATGCGCCCTTGTAGCAAAAAAACCTCTCCTCCCCAAAAAAAGAAAAAAAGAAAAAAAAAGAACATCTTTCTAATCACATGAATCAAAACTCTACTAGTACTATCTAAGCTAATATCTGTTTTTTTGAAAAGGAATAGATGGTGGAAAAAAAGCCACGCCTTACAGTTTTACACCCAAAATTTATTTTTGCTTTCACAAAAATAATTCTATGCTAAGGAATCTGTATAGAGCTACTGTAATGGAAATAATTGTTAACTGCAGAAATGTTATGCCTACCCACAGAGTTAGAAAAGCATGGACTGCAGACATAGAAAGCTGACAATATTTCCAATGTGAAATTTGATTGTCCTTTTAACAAATACTTACATAATTTTGTTTTGGAGAGGTTTTTGCTGTAGGGCACAGGTGCTTGTCGGGGAGACAGAGAGAGACAGAGAATGAGAGGTCACACCCCCAGGGGGGCTGGCTATGCCACAACCCCTTCTCATCTATTCTCCTCTCAGCATCTTGGGCACACACGCACACGTGCCCAGCATGAGTTTAAGCCACTGGGTCTGGGACTCGAACCACAGTTGATTATGTGGGAGTCCAGCAACATAGCCTTTACTCCAACTGCTTGTCCCAATATTTTAAGTTTTTAAATAATTGTGTTTTATTTATGAAAATCTGTTTTCCATTGTGCTCAACATTTTCTGTCTGTACTGACAAAGACTGTTTGCTTAAGAAAAATTTATCAAGCCTTCTGAAACTTCTCCTAGACCTATCAGAATACTTCTATATAATTCACAAAACCAGATCAGGTTAGAATCTCCATTACCCCCAGTGTTATTTCTTAGTAATTTTCTGTCCATATATTTTCAACTTGGTCCTTGGGTATAGATTCCTCCTCAATCTTTTTGTATTCAGAGTTGAACTTAATCTTACCCATTGCAAATCTTATTGACATATTTTCTGTAAATATTTTGAGTATCGAATAAAGTTAATAAAGAAACAAAAAAAAAGAAAAGAAACTGCGAAGGTCATAGGGACCAGCAGTTGGTGTATAATGGTTATGTTGCTGGAATTCCACATAGTTGAATACAGTTCAAGTCCCAGACCTGGTGGCTTAAACTCACGTTGGGTGCGTGTGCGCACAAGATCCTGAGAGGAGAATGGAGGAGAAGGAATTGTAGTGTGTAGTGTGGCCATCCCCTCGGGGGGTGATTTCTTGACTTTTTTTTTTTTTTTTGGAGAAGTTTTTTTGCTATAGGGCACGTGCGCTGGCCAGACAGACAGAGAGAGACAGAGAGACAGAAAGCGAGAAATCACCCCCCAGGGGGGATGGCCACGCCGCAATCCCTTCTCCTCCACTCTCCTCTTGGGATCTTGGGCATGCACACACACACACCTGGCATGAGTTTAAGCCACCGGGTCCGGGACTCGAACCGCAGTCGACTACGTGGGAGTCCAGAGACATAGCCATTATGCTAACTGCTGGTCCCATTGCTTTCTGTTTCTCTGTCTTCCTGGCGAGTAAAAACCTCTCCAACAAAAAAAAAAAAAAAAAAAAAAGAAAGAAAGAAACTGCAAAGGCGTAAAAAGGCATAAAAATGATAATTTCCAGCTATCTCAGACTATTAAGTAAAACCTTAAAAATAAGCTCAATTTTCACCATGAATTCTCAGACTATTAAGTAAAACCTTAAAAATAAAAGTAAAATAGCTCAATTTTCACCATGAATAAAGATGTAAGGAGTTGAGATCATGCCTTTAGAGTAGTCTGACAAGTCCTATCCTTTTCTGAGACTTGCTCTCCATTCCTGTTGTTTACACGAAATAACCTATGATTTCCATTTGCTTCCTCTAAGTGTTTCACAAATTACTGAATTACATTGCCTTATAATCATCGTTCATACTGAGTTGTTCCTGTGTTTTAGCTGAGAACCTATTTTATTCTCCATTTCAGAGATTACATGAGAGATACAATCCTTTTAGAAAAGCATGAAAACTACATATTTTAGGCAGAGTGATTTTTTACTATTTTCATAGTTCCTCTCAATAATCTATGCACAAAAGAAGTATCACATGCCTCATGCAACAATTATTTAAGATTACAGGTATCAGAGAAGTATTTTTTTAAATAACTTTTTGCCCCAATCTCTAGCACATCTGGAGAGAAAATTCATACATCAGTTAAAAATTAAAGCCCAGGGGAACCAGCAGTTAGCGTAATGGCTATGTCGCTGGACTCCCACGTAGTCGACCGTGGTTCACGTCCCGGACCCGGTGGCTTAAAACTCACGCCGGGCGCGTGTGCGTGCGTACCCAAGATCCCGAGAGGAGAATGGAGGAGAAGGGATTGCGGCGTGACCATCCCCCCTGGGGGGTGATTTCTCGCTTTCTGTCTCTATGTCTCTCTCTGTCTGGCGAGCGCACGCGCCCTACAGTGAAAAATCTCTCCAAAAAAAAAAAAAATTAAAGCCCACATAGGATAGAAAGCCCACACAAGAAAGTCTTAATACTACTTAAAATAAGGATAAAACTAGCAGTTTCTACAAAGATACTTTTCCTATATGAACACTGTTTCATGCACATCAAGAACAGTAGCTATATCTAGCCATATTGGAATACAGATCTTAAAGCAGCTATACTGTAACAAATAGTTAAGTACAGATTAGTAGCTGTAGTGACAGCATTTGGCATCTGCATCCCTCAGCCATAGCCCACATGTAATAAACTCTATGGGAGAGAGGGAAATACAAATCACAAATTGTTATCATTTGAAGTTTTATTTTCTTTTCATTGGGGATAAAGAGGAGAGTATTATCACATATTCAGTTAGACAGAAATATAAGGTATCACTTACAGACCTAACCTACCCAGCCAAGCACTAAAAAGTGAGAAAATATGCATATAATTAACCCTTCCCATTAGGTACAAGAAACCAACCAGTTAGATATTATTATAAAAATTCTATGTGCATAAAATTATTTTTTCCTAGTAAATCTGTAGAAGCTAACTTTTCTAAAATGTAATACTTGTTTTGCATGGCAGTGGGAGTTCATGAAAATGATCATGAAGCTGAAATTGGGTCAGGTGTTCTTAGTAATCAAAGGGAAAAATTATGGTTGGTCTGTGGCATTTGAAAAATTATTGTGACAGCATTAAAAGCTCTTACTGTTAGGTATAAATGTATAAGGAGATGAAAAATAAAAACAGTATTTGTAATTTAGTACACTGTAACACATTAGAAACATGGAGGGTGAAAATATTTTCTTTCTTGTAAACACTTATCAAGAATAGTTTGGGGCCAGCTGCACAATGCAGTGGTTAAGTGTAAGAAGCTTGATTCCATGTGGCTGACCACTGTATGAATCCTGGCCCTAGTGGCTTAGAAAACACAGTGTGTGTGTGTGTGTGTGTGTGTGTGTGTGTGTATACGTGCGCATGCGCGTGTGCTCAAGATCATGATGGAAAGAGAAATAGAGGAAAAAGGGTTGCAGCATAACCACACCCCACTGAGGGTCATTTTCTCTCTCTGGCAAGTGCATTCACCCTCTGGCAACTAAAGAAAAATAAAGTTTGAACACTGCTTGAGTTCATCTTATCACATAACTTATAATATGGAGCAGTCATCTTTTCTTTGCTTTAAAAAGAGTCAGACTCCTTCTTTTAATTATATTTTTGATTTATATATCATTATACAATTTATGGGGTACAATGTGGTTTTTTAAAGTATGATAATTAAATCAACATTTAATATTACATTATGTTGTGTTCGAAATGTATTATCTTTCTTTGGACATGTATACTAAATTGTCAGTGGCACTGTTTACTCTACTGTGGTATATGGAACATGACATATTCCACTTGTTTACATGCTGCTTCTATCTGCCTTTACTTTCTCTATTTCTAAGCTATCAAGTCCTTTAGCTCCCACCGAGCGAGGACCCAGTCAGTGTCTGTTCAGCAGAGATTTTGTCTTTCACAACCTGACTCGTTTCACTCAGCATTTTATCTTCTAGGTTCACATTTTCTCTAGTCCTGTTTATTCATAATAGCTAAGACATAGACTCAACCATGCTCCTTTCTAACTCTGGATCAGTTTCCAGCAGTTTATCTTTTTTCCTTTTATTATTACTTTTTAATTTCCCAGAGGACAAGTACATTTGCCAGAGGGCATGTGTGCTCCTCAGAGATAGATGGATGGTCACCAAATAATCCCTTCTCTATTTCACTATCCTATTAGGAATTTGGGCATGCATGATATGCTCCCAGTGTGTATTTTCAAGCTGCCAGAACTCAAACCACATGGCTGACCACGTGGGAGCTGGTTGCTTTAATAACCAGGCCATGGAACTGGCCTTCCTTTCTCCTTTTGATGTTTTGGTATACCTCTGAGAGTTTCCTTAATGTGAAGTTTTTTGCCAACTTCATAGTTTCTAAGATGCTTTCACCCCTTTGTCACAACCACTTTCCTCATTTCTGTCAATAAGGAACCTTTACTAAGTTCTTCTGGCTGCACAGATAGAGTCTACAGAACATATGGCAGAGTCAGCATTCCCTTAGTCATTCCTTCTGTAACTTTATTTATGTTTGACTCCAATTTTATTTCCAGTGTTACCACTTTTCGTTTCTTTGCTGTACTTTCATCTTTGTTGGCTAAGTCCCATTTGCAGTATTCGTATTATAAAATGTCACATGGCTTTATGACTGGGCAACAAGAAGTCAACACAACTGCATGCTTTGTTATTTGTACACAAATAATAAAGATTTGGGGATGGCCCCACAGCATAGTGGTTGAGTGCTGAGTCTAAGGGTCTGGATACCACATGGCCAACCATGGTTTAAATCCTGGCCCTGGTAGTTTGAAAGACATGCTGGGTGTGGGTATGTGTGCCTCCCTAAAATGAATAAAAGATGTGCTGAGATCTATCACTGACACACTTTAAAATAAATGACATGATTATCACAGATCACGATCCGCGTCTGTTATTTATGTACTGATTTGTGGACTGATGTGCTGGCAGTAATCTTTATACTCTATGCAATTACTTCATCAATATCCCAGGGTAAGTTGGTAACGGCAATTTTAACTATGTTATTGGTGAACTGATGCCATTTAATTAAACTGTGGTAACTGAAATTTGAGCCCACTGAAACTTGTAAAACAAGGACTACCTATGTAAGGGGATGCACATACTTATGTGCATCTTAAAAAAAATGCTAAAAAAATCATGCACACATAAAGAAAAAGTAAAGTAAAGGTACATACCAGTGTAAGATGCCTGAGATTCATCATCACTATCATCATCTTTTTTTCCTTTCTTCTTAGTTTTTTTAATTTTGTACTCTCTGGCATTGCCCCCACCTCCTCCTCTCACACTTCCGCTGCCCTCTGGTGGAAGATGACATTAGTTAGTATGATCTAAATTTACCACTTTAACAAGACGGTACTATATTGTGATATTTTACTTTACAGGAGGCAAAGGAAACTTTTAGATTCTTCTTAAACTATAAGTTTTCTTATTAAAAGTTTTATAAATTCAATCAATACAAAAAATAACATATGAAATCTCCTGAATTTAAGCAATTTACTGAAGATAATCAGTCTGCTCTAAATGCAGTCTTTTTTCTCCTCTAATGTCACCTCTTTGCTGTAGCTATCTGGTCTTTTCTTAACCAAACCCATTACTTCACCTCCTCTTTTAACTTCCCTCACAAAAATGTGTCCTCATTTGCACATCTCTGCTATCAGTCTCATCACTAACCTCCTATTATAATACTTTACACATCTGCTTATTCTTGGTTTTTGACTTCTTGGTCAAAAGATGATTGTCCACATTTAGAGGTGACATCATGATTCACATACCAACCAGATTATAAATTTCTTGAGTGTGTCTCATAAATGTTTGTACTCTTGGGGTATGGCAATGCTTGAAACATAAAAAATACTCAATAAATGTTGACCACTTATTAAATAAATGGTCAAACTGATTAATTAGACAGATGTCATTATTGATCCTTTACTGGCTAAAGACTAAAATAAGTTGTGCAACAAACTCAAACATTGTAAATAAAATTTAAAAAAAGTCACTGAGATATTTCTCCTGGTATTAGATAGATATGCTTAAAATACCTATGTAAAAAGCTGAAGTGTTATAAAATATGCATTATTATGAATATCACTATGATGTACTGAAGTAATTTATTATAGTTCACCATTTTGCAGAAAAAGGTTTTAGAAGATGAAATAAACTATCCTAAAAAAAAAAAAGTAGTGAAGTCCCATGAAAAACACTAAGTTTTTATAATATATGTTTAGACAGAGGGACAGAAAGTTATATATCTATATATTTATTAATGAAAAATATTGTAGATGGATTTTTAAAAACTCTGATAAAGCACTAACAATATTGTTCCTACTATTAAAAAGTAAGGGACATATATGTTACTTTTCCAATGCAAGTAACCAGTATGCCAGTGTCTCCTAGAACATTTTCCAGTGACTTTGAAATTAAAAAAGCAACGTCTCCTTGGGAAATTCATTCATTCAAGAAATATTTACAGAACACCTAAAATATACCAAGTAATGCTCTAGGTACTAGAAAAATAATAAATGAAATGAATGAGGGTCTCAAACAATTAAACATATTACAGTAATATTAAACATATTACAAAACAAACTGGCAAGACAATGAGAGAGAGAGAGAATGACCATGGGTACTCTCCTAGGGTGTTAAAGAGATCTTTCTGAGAAAATGGCATTTAGAGTCCAGTTCTGAATGAAAAAAAGAAACCAGTTACTTGACGTTTGGGGCAGGCATTTCAGGTAAAGGAAACAGCTAGTACAAAAGCCTTGAGGTGACCACAAACTGGTCAAGTTTAGAACATAGAGGGTGAGGGAAGGAGGAGATAGGCATGGTCATGAATTAAGTTAGTTTTCATTTAAAATAAAACACAGAATAACCAATATTTTCATTTTCATAATTAAAATTCAATTAATTAAGCAAAAGATCTGGTTGATATTAGCTGTTAAAATTAAAAGTGACTCAACCATGGGGCTGGCAGGTGGCATGGTGGTAAAGGGCGCTGGACTCCCACATGGCCAAGCACAGTTCAAGTCCTGGACCTGGGGGCTTGCTTTCTCACTTTCCAATTCTCTTGTGCTCTCTCATTCTGTCCCTCTTTGGTCAAATTTAAATAAATAAATACAAATAATTCTAAAAAAAAAAGTGAATCAACCAAATAAAAGGCCTTCAAAGGGCTTACTAAATGCAAAGTTCATTATAACAAATAAAAAACTCATTTTGAAAGTTCCTTGCTAATAACAATTTGTTACCTGTTGCCTTCCTTCTTCGCTCCTCTTTTTTATCCTTTTTATTTGTATTAATGCCTTCTGAAATGGAGACTTGTTTTAGATCTTCTTCAGTGATTAAATGTACAGGATTATTTTTCATTTCCTGAAATAAAACATGCTTTTTTTTTGGTAGGCAAAGATATATAGCACTTCAAAACACACAACATAAAAGCTGTTTATATATTTATGATCAAATCTTGTCTGGTTTCATTGCTAAGAGCTTTATCTCAGAGCTGCTACTAGAAGGCTATTTCTCCTTATTCCAAATCAGTCTGTTCTTTGTTTGCTAATTGTTTTAATGATGAGGGAATGTCTTTTTTTTTTGGCTTTTGTATGTTTTACTGGTTAATGAGAAATTATATCTGGTTAATGGGCAACTGACATACAGCAAGTCTCATCACAACCTTCCTCAGCTGTAACTGGTTAGTTTTGTTGCTTAATAGGTGTCCATGCCCCCTTTCTTTTCTTTTTTTATTTAGAGAGATTTTTGCTATAGGGCGTGTGCGTTTGCTGGGAAAACAGAGCCAGAAAGTGAGAAATCACACTCTGGGGGGATGGCCATGCTGCAATTCCTTCTCTCCATTCTCCTCCTGGGATCTTGGGCATGCACACACACGTATTTGGCGTGACTTTTCAGTTGCTGGGTCCAGGATTTGAACTACAATTGTTTGGGACTCCAGTGATGTAACCATTATGCCATCTGCTGGTCCTGTCCCCTTTTCTTTTTAAGACTCTTGAGTCCAATATCATCTGCACACTCAAGATTACCAGAAATATAATGAAACCTCCATTCCCCACCCCACCCAAATGACATGTGAGCAGCATACTAAAATCATATAAGCATTTCTTTCCTATGGACTCACTCTTGATGATGTCTGTTTTTTAAAAACGTTGGTTAACCACAATGGACTATTTCCAAGTTCAGAAAGCAGTTCTTTCTCATGGGAAAGTCTACTACAATCACAAGTGACAGAAATACATTTTCATGATGAAAATACTATTGTTTCTTTTTCAGTTTTTTTAAATAAAAATGCTTTCAATGTTGATAGTTCAAATAAGAGAGTCATCTTTTTCTGAATATATTTTTGTAGGTAGAGGGAAGAGCCCAAAGAAAGAAGAAAAATGATGACCATGTTCAGTCTTTTCTTCATTAAAAGATCACAAACAAAGCAATCATTTAATAACTGGTAGTTAACATAATATATACAGTATTACTGTATATGTTAGTAATACAGTATTACTTGTGTGTATCCTTTTGAAAGCAGGTTATCAACCAATCTCTTTTTGTTTTTCCTTTTTTTTTTTTTAAGAGGTTTTTGCTATAGGGCGCGTGCGCTTGCCAGACAGACAGAGAAACAGACAGAGAGACAGAAAGAGAGAAATCACCCTCCAGGGGGATGGCTTATGCTGCAATCCCTTCTCCTCTGTTCTCCTCTCAGGGTCTTGGACACGCACGCACACGCGCCCGGTGTGAGTTTTAAGCCACCGGGTCCGGGAGGCAAACCAGTCGACTACGTGGGAGTTCAGCGACATAGCCATTATGCTAACTGCTGGTCCCCCAATCTCTTTTCTTTAAAGATAAAGTACTTAAAAGTTGACTTGCCTAAAGTCATTTGGAGAGTAGTCATGTTTAGGATTATTAATATAAAATCTGTATACTTTTCACTCTTTTCTGCTTCGTATCAGGCCAAATGTAGAAAATTATCTTATTTTTAGACTATTAAAGAGCTTAGGACTATAGATAAATATAATTACTTACACATTTAATAAAATTCATGAATTTATTAGCAGTTTAATAAACACATGAGCTTACTTTACCTACTTATGAGCAGACTTTATAAGGAGATGGTGCTGGCATTTAGAAACATGAACTGAATAGTCATTACAGTGAATCTGGCATGACCTCTATTTCAAAATACTTGGACACTAGTTACTTTGAGGAACTAATCAATTTTGATAGTAACAAAGTTTCTTTCCTCAGTAAATTATTTTATTTGTGCACCCTACATAGGTAAAATTAATGAGGCTCTGTTAGATTTAATAAAATACTGTGTACTGATTGATATGCACTATGTATTTATACAGATATATCGATATAGATAGATAGATAGATAGATAAAAAAAACATTTTTGTTAATGTTTTAAAGTTGGACCAGTACCCAGGTGACTTAACTGTGAAGAATATAATTTCATTTATGGAATCTTAAGTTACAAAATTAACTCGTCAAGTTATAACTTGTATGTTCTGATGGGAAGGAAGGGGAAAAACAAATTTGGGAAAGGAAATAAGTGATGCATTAAAGGAAAATGATACATGGTACAAAGCATTCATTTCTAGGTAGACTGCTTATCCCAGTTTTCAAAAGTCATCAGATGATTTTAATGTGAAAAAGCTGTTAAGATTAGCAGATGAAAGGAAATATGGCATACCTTTTCAGCTTTCTGGTGCATCAGTTCACTGAACATTTCTGAACAGTCATTTATAAATTTCTCACTGACTACAACAGTGTCACTGAAGACTACAGCTGATGATTGTTTGCTGAATGCTCTCATCACCTGCTGCAGCAACATGGCCGCATCTTCAACTGTTAAAGAACTAGGTAGCAGAGGCTAGAATTACAAACAAAATAAAAATGAAGTATAAATGCAATATACTACAGGTAAACCTTTATTATACATATAAAATGGTCTCCGTAGGTGATCTCATTAAGTCCTGTGGCTTTTGGGGACCTATTTATGCAACTCCCAAATTCTATTTCTGATTTTATCACCACTCTGTGCTCTCAAATCACTTATCTTATTGCCTAACTTTCTCACTCGTATGCGTAACAGACATCTCATATTGTTCTCAACAACAGTGAAACCTGAGTTCCTCTCTCCCATAAACCCACAAATGATCCACCAACAAGTCCCGATAACTTTAACTCCAAAACATATTTCTTCTTAGCTCTCTGCACTATCTAAAATTTTCTTATCATTTCATTAACTACCCCATGAAAGTACCCCTTCTATAAATAGAAAATCTGTCTGGATACCATATCCACCAGAAGTAGAATGGTGCCTGGCACACAGAAGCACATAATAGAATTTGTTGAATAAATTTTAAAAAACACTTAAATCTGGAATTTTTAGAAATTTGTGTTTCCAAAACAATTTTTTGCTTTATAAAAAGGGTCTGAGTCCTAACTAAAAAATAACGAATTGGCCTCTTGTTTATTTATCTTTACCTACACTTATCTTTTTGGCATAATGAAGGGCAGGTCAATACTGAACACTGAAGTAAAACACTATCAGTGCCAAAGCAGCTTGTGTTAAGACATTAGCAGAGATTAATGGATAAGGGATGAACAAATGCTACAGGATGCCTGATGCCAGTACAATTGTAAATGCTCAGATAAGATGGTGAGTTCTCATTGATGTTCATATCAGGATTCATGTGAGTGTTATACTGTTTGCTTGCTTGTTTGGAGATTAACAAAACTCTGGATGTTGAAGAGCCACATGAACAAGGTCACTTTTCAAACACTGGAATGATTTAAGGCATAAATAAATAATACTATTTTTGATGTAAAAATGACTGCCAGAATTTGCCTTTAAAGTCAAGACCACCTTGATACATCCTAGTCTTGAAAATTTGGTCATATATTAGTAAAATACCCAGTGGTTACTGGTTTAAGTAAAAATGAAGAAGAAAAGAGATAAAACATACTGCAATATCAACCCATGTTCCAGAGCTGATAGCTTCCTCTACTGATGCTTCCACCTGATCCACGAGTCCTTGACCAACACAAGCAGCTTTCAAAAACAAGAGCTGTGTAGTCTTATATCTCTTCTTTATGTAGCTTACAGCATCTGGGATTCCAAGTCTGGACAAAGCATCGAATTCTAGAAACACATGAAGCAGATTAGAACTGTCAATCACTCCTACCTTTTAGAAATCTTAGAAAAATTTAACTTCTACCAAAAGCTATTTTTTAGTTGGAAATGTACTGTATTCTAGTATCTACTTTAGGAATAAAGCACAGAAATGCACTAAGGCTTATTCTCTGGTTACCTTACCTTTTCCAGTTTTTATTACTAAATATACATACAGAAAAATTCCTCAGTACCAGCTGTGTCACTACTACCTCTCCAATTAAGAGGGCCAAAGTGAAACATGATGACTACAGAGAAATAAAATCAGAAATGGGGATAAAGGAGAAAATAATGGTTTAAGTGAAAGAATAAAAACTACAATTTGTTTTCTTATATTTAAGTAAAGCAATGTAGTTCATTTTTCTTTCTTTTTTTTTTTTTCTTTTTTAGAGAGAGGTTTTTGCTATAGGGTGTGTATGTTATTAATATAAAATCTGTATACTTTTCACTCTTTTCTGCTTCGTATCAGGCCAAATGTAGAAAATTATCTTATTTTTAGACTATTAAAGAGCTTAGGACTATAGATAAATATAATTACTTACACATTTAATAAAATTCATGAATTTATTAGCAGTTTAATAAACACATGAGCTTACTTTACCTACTTATGAGCAGACTTTATAAGGAGATGGTGCTGGCATTTAGAAACATGAACTGAATAGTCATTACAGTGAATCTGGCATGACCTCTATTTCAAAATACTTGGACACTAGTTACTTTGAGGAACTAATCAATTTTGATAGTAACAAAGTTTCTTTCCTCAGTAAATTATTTTATTTGTGCACCCTACATAGGTAAAATTAATGAGGCTCTGTTAGATTTAATAAAATACTGTGTACTGATTGATATGCACTATGTATTTATACAGATATATCGATATAGATAGATAGATAGATAGATAAAAAAAACATTTTTGTTAATGTTTTAAAGTTGGACCAGTACCCAGGTGACTTAACTGTGAAGAATATAATTTCATTTATGGAATCTTAAGTTACAAAATTAACTCGTCAAGTTATAACTTGTATGTTCTGATGGGAAGGAAGGGGAAAAACAAATTTGGGAAAGGAAATAAGTGATGCATTAAAGGAAAATGATACATGGTACAAAGCATTCATTTCTAGGTAGACTGCTTATCCCAGTTTTCAAAAGTCATCAGATGATTTTAATGTGAAAAAGCTGTTAAGATTAGCAGATGAAAGGAAATATGGCATACCTTTTCAGCTTTCTGGTGCATCAGTTCACTGAACATTTCTGAACAGTCATTTATAAATTTCTCACTGACTACAACAGTGTCACTGAAGACTACAGCTGATGATTGTTTGCTGAATGCTCTCATCACCTGCTGCAGCAACATGGCCGCATCTTCAACTGTTAAAGAACTAGGTAGCAGAGGCTAGAATTACAAACAAAATAAAAATGAAGTATAAATGCAATATACTACAGGTAAACCTTTATTATACATATAAAATGGTCTCCGTAGGTGATCTCATTAAGTCCTGTGGCTTTTGGGGACCTATTTATGCAACTCCCAAATTCTATTTCTGATTTTATCACCACTCTGTGCTCTCAAATCACTTATCTTATTGCCTAACTTTCTCACTCGTATGCGTAACAGACATCTCATATTGTTCTCAACAACAGTGAAACCTGAGTTCCTCTCTCCCATAAACCCACAAATGATCCACCAACAAGTCCCGATAACTTTAACTCCAAAACATATTTCTTCTTAGCTCTCTGCACTATCTAAAATTTTCTTATCATTTCATTAACTACCCCATGAAAGTACCCCTTCTATAAATAGAAAATCTGTCTGGATACCATATCCACCAGAAGTAGAATGGTGCCTGGCACACAGAAGCACATAATAGAATTTGTTGAATAAATTTTAAAAAACACTTAAATCTGGAATTTTTAGAAATTTGTGTTTCCAAAACAATTTTTTGCTTTATAAAAAGGGTCTGAGTCCTAACTAAAAAATAACGAATTGGCCTCTTGTTTATTTATCTTTACCTACACTTATCTTTTTGGCATAATGAAGGGCAGGTCAATACTGAACACTGAAGTAAAACACTATCAGTGCCAAAGCAGCTTGTGTTAAGACATTAGCAGAGATTAATGGATAAGGGATGAACAAATGCTACAGGATGCCTGATGCCAGTACAATTGTAAATGCTCAGATAAGATGGTGAGTTCTCATTGATGTTCATATCAGGATTCATGTGAGTGTTATACTGTTTGCTTGCTTGTTTGGAGATTAACAAAACTCTGGATGTTGAAGAGCCACATGAACAAGGTCACTTTTCAAACACTGGAATGATTTAAGGCATAAATAAATAATACTATTTTTGATGTAAAAATGACTGCCAGAATTTGCCTTTAAAGTCAAGACCACCTTGATACATCCTAGTCTTGAAAATTTGGTCATATATTAGTAAAATACCCAGTGGTTACTGGTTTAAGTAAAAATGAAGAAGAAAAGAGATAAAACATACTGCAATATCAACCCATGTTCCAGAGCTGATAGCTTCCTCTACTGATGCTTCCACCTGATCCACGAGTCCTTGACCAACACAAGCAGCTTTCAAAAACAAGAGCTGTGTAGTCTTATATCTCTTCTTTATGTAGCTTACAGCATCTGGGATTCCAAGTCTGGACAAAGCATCGAATTCTAGAAACACATGAAGCAGATTAGAACTGTCAATCACTCCTACCTTTTAGAAAACTTAGAAAAATTTAACTTCTACCAAAAGCTATTTTTTAGTTGGAAATGTACTGTATTCTAGTATCTACTTTAGGAATAAAGCACAGAAATGCACTAAGGCTTATTCTCTGGTTACCTTACCTTTTCCAGTTTTTATTACTAAATATACATACAGAAAAATTCCTCAGTACCAGCTGTGTCACTACTACCTCTCCAATTAAGAGGGCCAAAGTGAAACATGATGACTACAGAGAAATAAAATCAGAAATGGGGATAAAGGAGAAAATCCTGCTCAGCTAGCATTATGGGGTGTGTGTGTGTGTGTGTGTGTGTGTGTGTGTGTTTTTAGAGAGAGGTTTTTGCTATAGGGTGTGTATGGAGAGACAGAGGAAGAGAGACAGAGAGAAATCACCTCCCGGGGGGATGGTCACGCTGCAATCCCTTCTCTTCCATTCTCCTCTTGGGATTTTGGGTACACATGCACATGCACCCAGCGTGAGTTTAAGCCACTGGGTCTGGGACTCGAACCACAGTCAACTATATAGGAGTCCAGCAATGTAACCATTACACCATTTGCTAGTCCCAAATAAATTTATTTTTCGAAATGTTCCTAATTTAAATTAGGAAACAATTTTACATAGAAAAGTGTAAAAAATAAAGATGTGAATTGTCAAAGTTATCACAGATATCCACATTCCCCACTTCCCCAACTCAAATGATCATACTTAAGAAAACTACTTATAACAAAGTTCTAATACAAGTCTCTGGTTGAAGAAACTGAAAAGTAAATTATAGGAAGTTAAGAAAGCATAAGTGAAGCCCAGTATCACCCCCCAGGGGGGATGGCCATGCCACAATCCCTTCTCCTCCATTCTCCTCTCGGGATCTTGGGCACACAATGCACACGTGCCCCGCGTGAGTTTAAGCCGCTGGGTCCGGGACTCGAACTGCGGTCAACTACATGGGAGTCCAGCGACATAGACATTACACTAACTGCTATTCCCAAATATTTCTAAGATGATGTTAACCGAAAAACCAGGCAACTTCATAAAACAAGATATAATGAGTATACGTTTATACTTGAAATTTAAAAGTATTATCTTAATACAATTGAAAGGTTGGTAATAATATCAACTTTTGGCCTTTATACATTAAAATTGTTCAAACCACGGAATTAAATTTAATTCTAAGATCCATAGAAACCTGCAGGGTAACTACTTACACTCAAAGGGAACCATTATACTCTAAGCAACAATAGGAACGTACATTTGGACTCCAGGGTTGGTACAATGTTTTCTGAGAATGTGTTTAGGATTAGACAGAAATTTTAGTTTCATAGTTCAAAGAAGAAAAAAGTTACCTAGATAGCCATTTTGTCTGAAAAAGGAATCAACCCAAGTACTCTGTGTCCTGGAGTAGATGTCAGGGACAAACACAGCTTTATCCTGTCTCCCACCAACAACAGTGCCTCGTAAGCGTCCACTATTAACAAGTTCTTCAAGCACGGCTAAAAATAAATCCATACACATACATAAATCAGAGCAGTCATAAATCTTAGAAGATTAAATAAAATAATATTTCACAATTTACCAATGCTTACAGCTTTTAAAACTAATTAAAGTTTAAGTAGCATCAATGAAGGTATTAGATAAAACTTTCTGGTCATAAGATAACTCCGGTCATAAATTCAGGGATTTTTGGCAACTAGCTAAATGTACTGAACTTATAACTCAAACTAGTTAATATTAACATTTGAATTTTTTTAGTTTGAGTAATTTTGGAAAAAACTCAGCATGCTATGACTACTATCTCATCATTTATTTTGAAAAGGATTAAATGGGCCAGCAGGTGGCATGGTGGTTAAGGTGCTAGATCCCACATGGCTGATTCTGTGTTTCGAATACTGGACTGAGTGACTTGAAAAACAAGCAAGGTGTGTGTGTGTATGTGTGTGTGTGTGTGTGCGCATGCCTAAAATCCAGAGGACAGAATGGAGGAGAAGGTATTATGGTATAGCCTCCTCTTGGGGGGTGAGTTTTCACTTTCCTCCCTCTCTGCAACTCTCCAGTGAGTGCATGCATCCTATGGCAAAAATTTTTAAAAATAAAAAAAAAAGATTAAACATGTTGAGAATAGAAAATATGTAATCATCAGTGTTATCATGTTCAATATCCTAATATTGAGAAATATTAAGACACCTGAACCATATTAGAATCAGCAGTACAAAATAAAGCTACTATAAATTATATAATTTCTATAATTTAAATTGAAGCAATACATTTCATTCTTATCTATAAACTGAAGTAGAATGGCATGGTTAAGAATATGGATTCTAAAGCCACACTGCCTAAGTCTAAGCCTCAACTTTACCATAAGTGCAGCTGTAAAACATCAGGCATGTCATTTTTATTTCTCCACTGAATTATTGTGAAACGGGAATAATAGTGATACCTGTCTCATAAGGTTGTTGTATATATAGCTGGCACATAATAAGCACTCAGTATCTATGAAATACGCATTACCATCACTATCACCACCACCATGACCATATAAAACTAAAGCCTGTTTGAAAACCGGATAGTGCTGCCATTAATACCAAATATATACTTAAAAAAAAACACACATAAAAATTTAAACAGTTTGTTGCTTTAAGTATCAAAATCCCTTTAAAAGACAAAGCAGAAGGATAGGAGCTGCTTTTAAGTGAATCAGCAAACACATTCAAAAGATGCCTAAGAAAGAAAGGTTTATAAAATGTAGCCTTTAACATTAAAAATATATATTTATGTACAAATTTCAAAATACTAGAATGTATCAGAGAAGTCCAGATATCTCAATAAACTTTAACACAAGATCCTAAATTTAGTGTGACTATTCAACACAAATGGATTCCTAATTCTGACCAAAATTTCAAGTTATAAATTATTACCTGAAGAGCTACATTATAATGAAATTGGACCAACCCCTCATTGTGTGGGTTCCAAAAAAGTTAGATTTTAAATGTCTTAGGAAAATTTAAATTTAAAGTAAATATTCTGAAAAAAAAAAGTGAATAGAAAATTAATTTTTGGTTCTATACCTGAATTTCCTTTCCATCATTTTAGTTCTTATATTGGTATAGTTATCTGAACTGAAAAATAAAGTCATTGCTTTTAAGAATTTTTTTCAGCAAAGCATTTAAAAATATAACTTAAAATCTTAACCGATCTTTACAAATACACAAGCAGACAATGAACTAAAATTATTTAGGAGATAATGCTATGGTGTTTGAATGCTAAGAACACATTTTACTTCTGAAAACTCTAAACATTTTGTTAGACACTCTCATTTACTTTTGTATTTTAAAATGTAGTAAAGAATCCTAAGAAACAGTAAAAATTCTTAATCCTGCAATTCTGAATCTCTCTCTGTATGAATATATTATATGTAGAACAATGTGAGCACACATATACTTTCATTCTCTCTATAATTTTAAAAAATTTTACTCCTTTTGGGTTAGCCAATACTAAACGTTTGGTGGATCTAACAGACAAATACAAATACAAAAAGTGGTATTTAGAAACTTTTTCAAATCAGAAAATATATTTATATTAAATTTTAAGATTAAAAGGAAAAAACATTAAGTCAGTAAGTTTGAAATTAACAGTATATTCAGCAGCTAATTGACATAATTTAAACCGAACTCACAGTAAAGAAGCTGCTCCTGAAACCCATATTTTGAAACCAAAGAATTCACTGCTGTAGGCCTTTGTGGAAATAAGAAAGAAAAAGAAAACTTCTTACTCATTATAGTTATGCAGACTTAAGAATTAAAACAAACAAACAAAAAAAACCCTAGAATAATTAAGAGATTATGAAAAACACCAACTAATTTAAAAGAAAAAATAAAGCCAAAGTTATACCAAAATGTCAAATCCTTAATGAGAACTATGGTACTGAAATTTCAGGTAAATTGATCTGTTTTGCCAATCAAAGATCAATTTATATTCCCGTTCCACCAAATTTTTACCCCAGATATTTGTGGTACTAAATAATCTACCTTGCCCTTTCCTGTCTTTTTTCTTCATCCTGTTCTTTCAGTCAAGGACGCTATTTCCTCACTTTGGAATATTCAAGTCAAGTCAATGTAATGCAATTCCATTTTTGAAGAAAAATGAGGTATGAGTACTGACAGGTATTCAAATAATATATTCCTACATTCACATAAATAATAGGGAGTGAGCCTTTTAAAATGATTTTTGCTTATCAGTATTTAAAACAACAACTACGTATTTTTCTTTCTATTTTAACATTTAATGGGGTATAATTTACATAGCATGAAATCCAGCCAACTTTATTTTTTTGGTGAGGTTTTTGCTATAGGGCACATGCGCTCGTCAGAAAGACAGAAAGCGAGAAATCACCCCCCAGGAGAGATGGCCACACTGCAGTCCCTTCTCCTCCACTCTCCTCTCGGGATCTTGGGCACCTATGCACATACACCCAGCGTGAGTTTAACTCACCAGGTCCAGGACTCGAACAGTGGTCGACTACATGAGAGTCCAGAGACATAGCTGTTATGCCAACTGCTGGTCCCAATTGAGCCAACTTTTAAGTGTACAACTTAATGACCTTAATAAATGTACAGAGTTGAGTAATGACTACAATCCAGTGTTAGAATGATTCCATCATCCACAACGTTCTTAGATAGCTGTTTGCAGTTAATTCCTATGTTATCCCTCTATCTAGGTAACCATTGTTTTTTGCCTCTATAAATATGCCCTTCTAGACATTTAATTATAAATGGAATCAATATGTGGTTTCTTGCTTCTGCCTTCTTTCACTCTGCCTTCTCTCACCTCATATTTTGGAGGTTCACCCATGATGAAGCATACATTAACTGATTCCTTTTGATGGCTGAAACCTATTCCATTGTATGGATATATCACATTTTGTTCATAAACAGTTGAACTGTTTTCATTTTGGGGCAGTTAATAATGCACCTATTGTTCATGTCCATATGTTGTATGGACGTATGTTTTCATTTCTTTTGGGTAGACTCCTATAAGAGCAGTCTTTTTTTTTTTTTTTTTGAGAGGTTTTAGCTATAGGGCATGGTGCACTTGCCAGAAAGACAGAGACAGACAGAGAGACAGAGAGACAGAAAGTGAGAAATCACCCCCCAGCCATGACACAATCTCTCCAAGATACTGAGTGTGTTCTCCTCTCAGTATCTTGGGCACGCACACACACACACGCCTGACATGAGTTTAAGCCACTGGGTCCGGGAGTCGAACTGCGGTCAACTACATAGGAGTCCAGCGACTTAGCCATTTTGCCAACTGCTGGTCCCTAAGAATATTTCTTTAATAATAATTATTGGGTCATCGGAATAGTCATGACATATTTTTCTATGCAAAAATATGTTATGACCTTCCCAATGACCCAACATAATTTTTTTAAAGTAAAGGAAACTCTAAAGAATCCAGATTGTATTTTGATTACTATATAATTTCCTTTTCAGTTCATTTTAAACCAGTACACCTCTTCTCCAGTTAAGGCTAGTCTCCTTTTATTTTATAAAACTTTATTTTAGTTTTTGCCATAGAATACACATACTTGACAGAGATATTGTTGGGGAGGGTTGAGAGAAAGAAAAGGGGGAAGTAAGAAATCACTCCTAGGGGGAATGACAATGCTGCAATTCCTTCTTTTCCATTTCCCTCTCAGGATTTTAGGCATGCGTACACATGCCCCACGTGTGATGTTCATACCCTATGTCCGGGACTTGAGCTGCACAAGCCATGTGGGATCCGGCTGCCTTAACCTTTCTCTCATCTGCATGCCCTGTTTTTTTTTTTTTTAATCTCTCATCTATTATAATTAATTGACTTTTAAATAATTCCCACTTTTCAATGCCCTATTATTAACTTAGTGCTGTAAATTTTTTCTGTAACAAATTCGGGAAACAAAAACAGTTCTCTAAAAATGAATGGAATATTTAAAAGCTCTATATTTGGGAATATTTAACTAAATTACTGTTTTTAATCAAATTCTTACATGAGTCAATTTTTTTTTTCTTGAGAGATTTTTGTTATAGGGCGCATGCGCTCACCAGACAGAATATAAACTATCCTATCATATGGCATGGCCATCCTCCCTTCTTCAGGCTCCTCTTGGGATTTTGAGCATGTACACAAACACACATGCCAGCATAAGTTTCAAGCTGTTGGGTCTGAGACATGAACTGCAGACAACCACATGGGAGTCCAGTGCCTTAACCACTATGCCACCTTCTGGCCTGATAGGTCAGTATTTTATTAAATTATTTTACTCAAAATATTTAGCTCAATTGTCTAAAACTTCCAAAACCAACTGAGTCCACTTGTTCTGTCAATTTCCTCTCCTCTGTTTAATTATTACAACCTTCTCACATTTTATTTCTTGTGTATGTTTCTTCCTGTTCTGTTCTCCCTGAATATATCGTTACTAAAGTGTGGAGAGTACCTTTTGAAGGATTCTAGCTCAAAATTTCAGGTGCATAATTTATTGTGAATATTCAATTAAATGTTGAATTGAGTAACATTAAAATCTTAGCTTATTTTTTTATACAGTGAAACCTTAACTAAATTTTAATTTCATTTTGGAATACATCATAGTTTTGTATACACATACATCTTATTCTTATCACTAATTGTTACCTGCTCTTCTTTCTGGCTTCTCTGATGACAATGCAAGCCCTTTTAAATCAGAGATATTTATGATTTCTTTAAACTTAGACCAGGTAAGTGACATAGTTTATTATTTTCAAGAGGCAAATATGAAGATGCAGAATATTACACAGAACTATTAGAAGTCTTAGAGCCTAGCTACATCATCTGAGGTTCTGAATTTGTTTTCTTTCATAGTCTAATAGTATCTTCATACAGAGAAACTTAGGGCTATTATGAGTGAGAAAAATGTGACCTTGATGAAAATTACATGTACCACAATAATTAGTCAAACACAAATGAGCACTTGTTAATAGAAAAAATGTAGTTTTAGTTTCTATTTTTTAACTAATAAATGCATAGGGTACAAAAAAGCTACAAAACTGATACCTTCCATTCCTATCACTCAGAGGCCTGGTTCTTCTCCCCAGAAAGAATCACTAGTTTCTTGTAGGAGGGTGATCTGCTGTAGGCTACCAGAGCCTACATGAGGTAAGGAGAGCCTCCACATGAAGAAAATAGCTGCAGCAGCAATGGGAAGTCAGTTTTAGAAGGGCAGTGAATCTAGTAAATATATACATTAAGGATAATAAAAATCAGGTTTCACATGGTTGGAGAAGGGAGTTACAAATGTGGAAAGAGAGAAAACTAAAACTGTAACAGATATGGAAAAGGAAAAAATATGGAAAAGAAGATATCAGAAATGAAACTTAAACTGCTGGACTAAAACTAGAAGTATCCTTATGAATTCACAGTTTTCAATACATACAGTTAAAGAGAGAGTCTGATTTAGAGTGGGGTATACAAACCTGTGTATCTATGTCTCCTAGTTTGTCTACTGAGAGGACCTGGGAATTATAAGAATCAAATAGCAATAAAAAAATCTAGTTTTCAGATTTTGACCTCCAAATATCATACTCTACTAAAAGGAATCAGAGCTCCTTGGAGAAATACTGATTCTAGCCTTGACACAGGAAAGTATAAAATGAACCTAGGATGTCTTGCTGTGCCAGAAAGAAAGGAAGTACTCCAAGAATGATGAGAACCTATCAAAAGGACATGAAACCAGCCCCAAAGTCCTACCAGCAGCTAAATCAGGACTGTTATGAAATACAAATAAAGATAATAGATTATAATCCAATGAATGAACTAGAGAACGAGTTCCTAATAAATAAATAAACTGAAACCTCAACCTAGAATAGGATAACCTACATTATTCCAATTACCCTCCCCATAAATACGCATTTATTATAAAGGAGGGCCAAGTAGCTCTATGAGAAGCCAAGTCAGTATCTCCCTATTGAGTAATTATAATACACTCATCAGTTATTGGAAAAAATCTAAATTATAGGCCATCTGATAGATTTAATAACAAGAACACAGTGTCACTTTTGTGGTATTTTCACCAAAGTTATGTAATCAGAATAGCCATGTGAAATAAAAGCAGATGAGCAGAACTGAACATTCTACAAAATAACTGGTCTGTAGTCTTCAAAGTGTCAAGGTCACTAAGGAAAGACTAAGTATTCTAGAGTGAAGGTGATTAGGGAGACATGACAATTAAATGCAATGTGACTTTGAACTGGATGCTTTTTCTATTAAAAAAAAGTTACTGGAACAATTGGTAAAACATGGATGGGATCTGAGGACTAGAGGATAGTAATATATCTATGTTAATTTTCTGATTCTGATTGTATTACAGTTATATAGGAGAATGCTTTTTTTGTAGGAAATACTGAAGTATCTTTGGTGAGAACATTGTGTTAGCAACTTTTCAAATGGGTCAGAAGAAATAGTGTTCTCTTATAATTTTTTCTTTAATTTTCAGATTATTCAAAAAAAAAGAAAATTGTTGCATTATATTACAAGCTCCTCATTCTAACCTTTTAGTCTTTTATAACCCCAGTATCTTTGATGTAGTAGGTGCTCAATAAATGCTTCTCAACTGACTGTCATATAAAAGATGTCCTGAGACATGGTAAAAGTATAGGAAAAACTGATTAGAAAGTGAAAAAAATAGTTCAGGTGAAAAATGGATTGAAGTGGTGGGAAAGGTGATGTTAGAAAAGTAGTAATCAAATATGTTGAATTTGAAGCATGTAGAAAACATTTCAATACAGATGCTGTGCAACTAGTATAACTCTAAAATTCAAGAGCTGTGAAATCACCTAGAAAGATAGCGAAGGAATGAGAATAAAAAAAGGCCTGAAACAAAACATCAGTTACGGGAAAGAGGAAGGGTCAGGAGTCAGTTGGTGGCATGATGGTTAAGACACTGGACTCCCACATGGCTGACCATAGTCTGAACCCAAAAACAATGGCTTAAAAATTATGCCTGGTGCATGTGTGCCAAAATTCCTGAGAGCGGAGTGGAGAAGGGATTATGGCATGGCCATCCCCCCTGAGGGGTGATTTCTCACTTTCCCTTTCTCTGTCTCTCTCTGGCAAGCACATGTACCTTATGGCAAAAACCTAAAAGAAAAAAAGAGGAAGAGCCAGAAAAAGTGACTTAGAAGTTACAGACAAAAGAGAAAAGATGAAACCTGTAAAGTGAAAAAAAAAAAAAAAAAACATTTCAAGAAGGAAGATGTAACAAATTAAATGCTGTTGCTAAATCAAGTAAAATAAGGAGAGAAAATATCTGTTAGATTTAATGCTATGCACATCATTGTTTTGATAGTTGTAGAAGCCAGATGCATAGGGTGAGAAGTGACAGAAGGTAAGAAAACTGAAACTGCACATAGACAGCAACTCTTGAGAAGGTCCGCTTTAAGGAAAATATGAACAAGATGGTAGATGGAGTGAAATATGGGTTCACAGAGGCTCATTTCAAAATGGGTGAAATTTGGACATATTTAAATGCTGGTGGGACACACAGTCACTGTAATGAGGCAAAAGACATATATATGCAAGAGGAGATAATTAAGATGTAGGTTTTCTGAATTCTATACCTGAGTTTCACACAGATCTAAACATTCTAGAAATTATTTTAGAAAAGTTAGTGATTTTGAAAGACTGATGACTGTATTATAGTTATACAGGAGAATGCCCTTTTTTTGAGTGTAAAGTGATAATTGGTAGGAGTCCTAAACATCTAGCCCCTCTGAGGCCCAAAGAAGTCTTTGCTCAAGGTCATATGTTTACCAGGATAAAGCTTTGACCCAAATTCTTCTGCTCATTCCATGAGTCTGGAGTGACTTAAATTAATATCCTAATCTGGGCAAAAGTTTTTAAACTGCATTCTGCAGAGGTGCATCTGGAATCATGAGAATAGAAGGTAAGGAAAGGAGGGAGATATGAATTAAAAATACAGAACTATAGAACTCTGGAATCCCCACTACCACTTCATAGAAGTTCCTCTTTCTTTCTGTTTGGTAAACTGGGGTCCTGAATGAGATTTTATTTAAAACAAAAAAGAGTCACTTGCTAAGGAAAAAATGCAAACCATGTTCAAAATAACATATACCAATAAATACACTTTTGGTACCAGCAGTTGGTGCAGTGGTTAAGGCACTGGACATTCTCACATGGCTGACCATGGTTTCAGTCCCAGACCTGGTGGCTTGCTTTCTTACTTTCCCTCTCTCTCTATCTGTCTCTGCCTCTGGTCAAATTAAAATAAATAAATGAATAAAAAAGGTTAAATAAATAATTATTTTAAAATATATGTACACTTCTATAATATACCTACCGTGTAATTGCACTGAATAGTCCACGGATACGTGCTTTATGTCGAGCTACAAAAGCTTCAGTAAAAATTACTCCTCTGTTATCAAGATCGAGATGTCCATTGATAATTCTACCAAGTCGCTGAGTTAGTGCCTGAGGATAAAGATGTACATTTTTATTAATCTGAAAGAATTATACAAACTCATTTGTATAGTCATATTCAATTCATGCTGCTTGCCAATATTTCCTCAATCATATGACTGAGAAATTTCAACTAGAAAAAATTACAAGCAATATGAACTAAAATGAAGATTCAGGAAACTATCTCATAGCAGAGCCAAGAAACAAGTCGAATTTGGGAAATGTTAAAAGAGCTATCATATTTGCCCTCACTAATAAAGTCTACTTCTAATATAAAATAAAGATGATTGATAAACCAATTTTCTTCTGGGTCATCAGAAAAGTCACGACACATTTTTTGCATAGTAAAAATACGTCGTGACTTTTCTTATGACCCAATAGATACAGGCAGTTTCCAACGTACAGACAGCCAAGATACATACATGGGTTTTGGAGATGACCTTATCTAGAGCTTTTAACACTAACAGAGAGGAATAAATGCAAACCTAGAGAAACGTAAGTTCTCAAAAGGTATCCTCTCTGACTCACATGTTAACAAGTTGTTTTGGTTCAGAGGACCTAGATGGACAATCTAGTTTCTTGGTAACATGCTTTCAAATTCAAGAGAGCATTTCTACACAGGTACATGACAAAGATAAGTTACAGGTGATATAAGTCTAACCATAGTTCACATCCCCAAATAAGTTAAACCTACTCAAGTCAGCTTGGCTGATACTTTTATGTTATAGAACAATGGTTTTCAAATAACTTAATAAGCTTTTAGAATACTGCTTGTTATAGAAAAATCAGAACTTAAAAATATAAAGAAGCTGTATATATTTCTAAAATATATTAAGAAGTAGTTTCATAAGAAAGCTTTTTTTTTTTTTTTTTGAGAGGTTTTTGCTATAGGGCATGTGTGCTTGCCAGAAGGACAGAGATAGACAGACAGAAAGCGAGAAATCACTCCCCCCAGGGAGGATGGCCATGCTGCAATCCCTTCTCCTCCATTCTCCTCTCGGGACTTTGGGCACGCACACAAACGTGCCAGGTGTGAGTTTAAGCCACCAGGTCCGGGACTCATACTACAGTCGACCACATGGAGTCCAGAGACACAGCCATTACACTACTTGCTGGTCCCAAGAAAGCATTTTGATAAAGGCCTGACAGCTTTTAATAGAGTTTTGAAACTATGTTTTCTTTTAAACCTTCTTTGATTTAGCTGTATTTACTCATGGAAAACAGAACTTAGGCTCCTGAAATGCTACATGAAAAAGATCTAGACTCTGTATGGTATTTTAAATGCAATCAGAGAAGCTCACTATGCATAAATTTGTGTTTGTTATAAATTAATCTCATGCAACTATGGTTTGGTAAGTTTTATAAATTGGATTTCCTAAGTGACTATATCTAAGAAAAGATCTGGCTTTACCTTTCAGTAAATACTAAATATAACTACCATTTAATGAGTGCCTGCATTGTTCAAATATTTCACTAGATATACCTCACTGAAGCATATGAAAAAGACATAGTTATTCCTATTTTACAGATAATGTAACTTGAATCACAAAACAGATAATTTTGTTAATGTCAAATAAATAATGGATATAATAGAAAGGATTCGACTCCAAGATCTAACTCTAAGATCTAAGTCTGTGTACTTTCCATTGTACTAAAGAAAATTCTATGATTCTACGATATAAAAGGGCTTAAAAAAAAAAAAGGAAAGAAACAGCCTATATTTTCAGGTAACATATTAAATTGTAAATCAAGATATCTGATTTGAATATTAACACATGCACACAAAGTTATGACACTATGTGAGATTTCTTGGCTCTTCTTCTCATCTTCTTTCCTCCAATGGTTTAGAGGGAAAAAAGTGTCATCAAAAGATGCTGGCATAAATGACATTTTAGTCTACAAAAAGTCTGTGCTGAAGAGGCTGTCCTGTGCATTACAAGATGTTTAGTTGTATCCCTGACCTTCCCCTCTAAATGATTAACTTCATTAGTTACTTCTTAAAATATACCTGGGCCTTCAGAACTGTAGATATCTTGGTTTTTGTACAGCTGATATCAGAAGCATGAGATAAATCTGTGCACTTAAGGCACTGTCAAGACAGCCCTAGAATTTAGTCTATTGTTTTACGGTATCTCTTAGTTCAGGAAGATTATAATCATTTTTGAATAGTCTCCTTCAAGTCATAAATGTATAGGAAGTACCCCCACATGTTAACTGCTATAACATTTATCAAGTCAGACATCTGCCAAGAATCAATTGAAGGTAGGACAGTCTAGTTCTCCCCCTCCATTATATTTATTTAAATTATTTATTAAAAAGACACATCATACTATTAAGGAAAAACATACCTGTGTCAGAAAGTTTCCAGGAAGATCATAGGTTTTACACAATTCGGAAATGGTTACCTGACCACTTTCTTGCAATTTGTCATTTACTTCTTCTGCTAACCGATCCAAATAGTTCCTAATCAGAAAAAAAAAAAGACTGCCATCAACAAAAAAAGCAATTAGGAATAATGGCTTTTGTCTGTTTTCTCTATCTTTCATGTTTAATTTCTGCTGAAATAAAGTATGCCCTAAAAGTAATGAATAGGGTATATGCAGGTAAACACAATTCTTTTTGTTGTTGTTGTTTTTTGCCATAGGGCATGTATACTTGCCAGAGAGGAAATGTGAGAAATCACCCCCCAAAGGAGATGTCTTTGCTCCTCCATTTTCTTCTTGGGATTTTTGGGCATACGTGCAAAGACACCTGGCGTGATTTTCAAGCTGCCAGGTCTGGGACTTGAACAGCTCAGCCATGTGGAAGTCCAGTGTCTTAACCAGCCACCATGCCACCTGCTGACCCCACTCAAATAAAGCATATATTTATGTAATGTCAATTAATAAAAATGGAAATGAAACATAGTCAGAAAATAGTATTTTTTTCCCAAAATTTTGAAGACTTTTCATGAAAATGAATATAACTGTGAGCTGTATTCTTAGATGTCTCTGATGTAGGAGTTTGCAGAACACTAGTTTCTTAGCATGAGTGAGGAGGACATATTTCTCTGTCTTGCATGTGACACACTAGGAGGGCTGGGATGTCCTTGGATACCTTTCAGCATTCGAATTCCATACTAATGGGTCCAGAGGCTATGGTTTATATGACACATCCCTGATCATCAGAATACATGCTTCCATAATAGAAACAAATCTTCTGAAACTCTGGGAACCTTCTTGGAAAGCTAAAAAATGTCTTTAATCTCATGAAGCTGAAGGGAAAAAGTTGTTGTAGACATGCTTGATTAGGCACATGGTTCTTAGGTATGATAATATAATAGGGAACCCAAGTGATGTAGAAATTGAGGAAAACAGATACTGTTAATTTTCTTTAATGAGACTGATTCTACGTTTGGGTAAAGAAACTCATTTAGTCTTTTAAGCACAAAGGCATTGAAATAGGAGACTGATAGAGCCTAGGCTATATTTGTACTTAGGGAAGCTGGATCCACAATGCCTTCGAAACATGGTCAGATTGTCATATTTCTTTAACCCTTCACTATAGTACTTGAAATGCCATCAGCAAAGATTAAATTCCTATGCCTACAGAAAAACTTCGTCTGGAACTCTTAATTAGAATAAAAGTAGAATGATGTTACATATGTACAAAGTGGTGTGGGTTTCTTGATAAGAGTCTTTTCTGATATTGCAAGAGGACCTGGGAATTGAGGAGAGAAAACAGCGGTGGTAAGGATGAGATGAAGAAAGTGTGAGTGAGAATGTTCAAAGGGCAAAGAAAAGATTTTCCTGCTACCACATGTGCTCAAAGGCTGATCTCTTTTTTTTTTCCCCCTTTAAAAGAAATTTTACTGTAGGCACATGTGCTAGCTAGAAAGACAGACATAAAGCAAGAAATCACCCTCCAGGGAGATGGCCACACCACAATTCCTTCTCCATTTTCCTCTTGGGATTTTGGGCATGGATGCACGTGCGATAGGAGTGAAGTTTAAGCCACTAGGTCTAGAACTCAAACCATGGTCAACTATGTGGGAGTTCAGCAACATAACCATTATGCCATCTGCTGGTCCTGAGACTAATCTTTTGTATTCTAAGTCATGATGATAGGGACTTGATCTGAAAGTCCTGTGATTTGCATTATTCATATTCTAACAATTATTTTTTTCTCATCAGTGTAACTTAATATAAGATTAATCAAATGGCAAATGTTGGAAATTTTTTAAGGATGGAAATTTCACAGTAATTTTTCATTAAAATGTTTGGAACAAATCTGCTTTCAGAGCTAAGATTATATAGGAAAGATTACAAAAGTGGTATTTTGTATCACTTTTTAGAAAACAGGAAAAAAAATACTATTTCTGAGTACTCCACCTAATTAAGCACTTACAGGTTAAGTAGAATGATCCTGAGGATGAAAATCAGCACTATAAAAACCCTAAACAAAATGTCTAATTGGCCATAACAGGACTAAATTTAAATATTTACAAGGAAGGAAGGAATGTAGGCAACAAAGAACTCCTAAAATTGTACTTACTCATCTATCAGTTGTCCCAACACTAGCTGAACATGCTTTTCTGATTTAATAATGTCACCAATTCTATTTTCAATATGAGTCAGGTCAACATTAATTACCTGGAAAATAAACACAAATTCTCCTAGTGTTAAGTTTGTATTATTTTTTTAAGTTTGAAATTATACATTTAAAACTATACTTTAACTTACATGTGTCTTCAAAAAGTTCCTGAAATGGCATATTATGACAACACAATGAATGGATTTCAAATTTTTGCACCAAAATCAACTTGCAGTGTAATTCCATGAATTTATTTATTTATTTATTTAAAGAGAAGAGACTGCTATAGGGCGTGTGTACTCGCCGGAGAGACAGAGAGAAAGTAAGAAATCACCACCACCTCCACCCCTCCCCAGGGGATGGCCACTACACAATCCCTTCTCCTCCATTCTCCTCTCGAGATTTTGGGCATGCATGCACACATATCCTGTGTAAATTTCCAGCTGCTGAATACAGGACTCGAACCGTGGCTAGCTATGTAGAAGTCCAGCGATATAACCATTACAACATCTGCTGGTCCCTCCATAAACTTTTTGAAGTCCTCTTGTAGGTAAGAAGTTATCTATTCTTAGATAAATTTTTTAGTCGTTTGACATATCCTTAACTAAAAAATTAAAGGCTTATTATTACTTATTTCTAATCCTAAAAAAAAAAAATCACAATTTCATTTTGCTAGTAAAGTTTGTTAAGCAGTAAAATCAATTTTCATACAATAAATACCAATTATCACAAGATTTACCAGATTCTTATTTATAGTGTCCCATGGCAATGACATGCACAGTTATATTTTTTAGATATCTTCTATCATTAAAATATTTATCTATTATTTCTGCTTTCTGAAAAGCATGTTTTTTCTCTCAAAATAACATAAACTCTGCAATTATGTAAGATAATTAAGTCTACTTAACAAAGAATAAAAGGAAAGCAAGTCACTGAGAAAAATATAAAACCAATATTAGTAAATACTTTTTAAGTCACTGATTAATTCATAGTATCAACAAAGTTTTTTAAATCAAAGCAAAAATATTATAAATTTAAAATTACCTGTTGTAGATCAACAATGTTTACTCGACCTTTAAAGAAAAAATATTGATTTATTTTAAATTACATGTAAGTACAAACCAAAAGCTATCCATTCTAACAACTTTAAGTTTCAAACAGTTGAAATCCTTCTGCAAAATACCTAGTGGAGCTAGATTAATGTCTTCAAATACAAACCAAACTGAATAAGACTTCATGACTGAAGCCATAGGCAATAATTTATCTTTAAACTTATTTTTATCACAGCAAACCACTTATTAGTATCACCTGATATGTAAGTTGGCTGGACCTATAAAGGATATTCATCTCTGCCGCAATTCAGAATTTATTTACTGTGACCAAACAGATAATGACAACTAAATTAAAAGGAACATTTTTCAATTATTTGAAATTGAAAGGTAAATTTCTTCTATCGGAATAAAAAAAAAAAAGAAAAAAATTGTTAAGTATTCAATATTACAACTCTGGGCCAGTAGTGGTTAAAGTGCTGGACTCCCACCTGGCTGACAGGGGTTTGAATCTCAGACCCAGTGGCTTAAAACTCATGCCAGGCACATGTGCATGCATGTCCAAAATCCTAAGGGGAGAATGGAGGAGAAGGGATTGTAGCATGGCCATTCGTACTAGTGGTGATTTCTCATTTTCTCTCTCTCTGCCTGTCCAGCAAGCACATGCACCCTACAACAAAAATATCTCTCTCTAAAAAAAAATTATAGCTCATACTTTATTTGTATTACAGAAGAAGAGAAAAATCAAACACCAAGGTTGTATTTGGGCAACATCTAATGAAGAGTCATTTTATAGTTGTAGTTACCTCTATTTTAACCAGTGTTCAAAGTTCCTCAATAGTTTGTTCAAATTGTAAAAAGATAAAAGAGAACACCCCTTTTTGTGCTTGTAGTAACATTTCATACAATATGATGATTGTAACACCAGACTGTATCAAATAACCTAATTTATAATATTTATAAGTCAGATTTTTTTTTTTAAAGCACGGTAAGAGAACCTTGATGTTCAAGAATTTATATAATTTTTAAAAATCTGTTTGCCTTTCACAGTTACCACCTGATAACAGGCAGCTAAGTATCCCCTCCACCCTATGCCATACAATTAAATTAATCTGTTGTGGACAAAGACAATTCTAATACAATACACATAACTCAAAAAATAGAAAAGCACTATTTTATAAAGTGGTAATACTGAAATACTGAATCCATTTAAATGATGTGATCATGTTTGCATGAATCTAGGAAAAATATTAAGGGCAGTTGCTAAGACAACAATTGAAAACGTGTCCTATAGCCTCCAAACAAATATTTTATAATTTTAAGCGCTTTTTTTTCCTTCCAAAAATCCAGAAGAAAAAAAGAAATAGAGAATTACTTACCACCCCGGACATGTAGCTCATCTTTCATTTCTTTACTAATTTGGGCTGGAGTAATATATTCTTTTCCATCAAGTGTGTGAACTACTTCTAGCTGTTTCTGAGCAATCAGTTTATTCACAATCTCAATACAGTTCCGCTCTGACAGCCTGACAGAAAGAAGAACGTTTCAAAAGTGCACTTGATACACTCATGGTCAATAAAACTAGCACACTGTATGAAAACGGGCTTTTGAAAGTTTGGGTAAAAAGTCACTAATATTAATATATAATATTACATAATCCATATCTTTCATTAGAATAGTACTGATGCAGTAAGTTAGAAAAATTCTCTTGAGAGTAAACAGGTTTACATGCACTTAAGTCATTTACTTAATTTATACATATTCTATTAAAGATTTCAAGTTCTGTCTTCTAGACCTAATCCTCAAATTGGAATAGAAAATTGAGGACATAATTTAGGCAACAGAAAATCTTGCCCTACTTTCACTTCAATTTCCAATTTATCCAGGATTTTCTTTGAAATTATATGCACAGTTTCCTTTCTCATACATCTGGTCTGCAGGCAGGTGGGCAATCTGGCCTAGTAAAATCACAGCTACTACTGTTACCCTCACACTTAGTGTACCCTAGTTTTTTTTTTTTTTTTCTTTTTTGGTAGCTCTCAGTGCTACAAAATGCAGCATCAAGAGACTATGGTCTTCGGGCAGGGAAAGTATAAAACATCGCAGGAAATAAACAGTAATTTATTATGTACGTTCTGTAATATTAAGAAGCAGAGTGTTCCAGACACATCCCTCAAAGGTTGATGGACTTGAAAACTTCAGTGCTCTGGAGTCCTTAAAAGTAACAGACGGGGTCCTGAGTCTGACCTAGATCTGTTATGGTACTCAAACCGTAAAGGGTCAACATACTACTTGCAAATTACAGTATTTAGGTATTAATCTTTCTTTTCTAGTTCATTTTAAGACAGGTAGTGTGTAATAGCCAACGATCCACAGTGACCGGGTGGTAGGTGGAGGAGGAATGGTCAGGGGGTACTCAATAAAAATATGCCAAAGTCGACCAGGTTCGACCCTCGTGGGGCAGGGGTCTGTCAGCACTTGACTGGAACCGGGATGGCGGGGAGGCCTGGGACTTCACCGCCGGCCCCCCCGCCGAGACTGCGATCCAAGCTCGTGGCGAAAGGAGGAAGCAGGAACGGTGACAGGGGCTGCGCAGGTACTGGGGCCAGGGACCTAAGGTACTGAGCTAGCCGTGCGCGCCCCGGGCCTAATCTGGGCTGCACAATGGAAAGGGAGGGTCAGGCACCTCTGTGTGGCCTCGGCGAACTGCGCCCGCTGGAAGTCAGCCGCCAACCGCCTGATCTCTTCCCAGGCGTCCGCCATCACTGCCGGACTCGCCAAGATGCTGAGGAACTGCGGACACGTCAGCCCAAAGGCGCCGGGAAAACAGGCCAGGGAGAACGGGCCGTGCGGAGAGACAAGAGACCCGCCCCCGACGCAAAGACCGTACGCGCC